TTATTCCGCTTACTTAGGCGAACTTTTTAGCCCAGTACAGATCTTGTACGCATGAGCCCAATTTTAGTCCTGTCACCGAACCCTATACACAAATGTTTCGCATAAATGACCGCAACGTTGTCAGAATACATCAGATTACGTTCTTAAACATTGCTTCTCACTGCGTCTCTTGTTTATTTTACGGTAGTAACATTTGTGCTGTTTGGTGCATAAGCTGGCGTGGCACGTGTTGAACTACGACTATCAAGCCTACCATTCTCCAGTTCGTTCACCTGCCAACTGTTGGGTTTCAAACAACTCATCTACGTCAACAATAGTTTCGATAGGCTACCATTTCTATATATATATAAATTTAATTTCTAGATAGAAATTACCTGAATCGAGTAGCAGTTATCTTTATGCAGAAATCTCCATGGCACCTTTCCGTGCGGCGGATAGAAAGCATTAACATGAAGAATTCTTGTGTGGTGAAGTCTGATACTTCATCGCGTTTGAAAATAGTTTTAGTATCGTTGCTACACTCTGAAAATAGCCTTTGGGCGCTGTTCTTGGCTGTGAGACTGCCGCCTTCACATCTGAGCTAACGCTAGCACGCATATTCCTAGCTTCTCCCTATACAGCTACATAATGACCAACCAGTTACAAACCAGATCTGATGTTTACTCAGAACGGCGCAAGAGCAGTGCGTCAAGTGCGAAACGCTATCTCCAGCTCACATCATTGCTTCGCGTTTCAATTATTTTATACAGACGCTGCGATGTTATCAGACGTCGCTGCCGGTAAGCAGCCGAACGTAATTCTATATTACACGCACGGCCATAGTGAATACATTGAAATATAGCCGAGCTATGTCTGATTAACGATAAATGCTGCTGGCGGCGACCAACAACGAATCAATTAACAACGAAATCTTCCTCAATATCGTTCCTCAGTGAAGACCGAACACCACTATAACATGACAGCTGTTTGCGATAGCTCGCTTCTGTAAACGGTCGTATTCAATCAGTGTTTCGTATTGGCTTACTTTGAACATCTGATGCCGAATAACCAGGCAGAGTTGAAGAGCTTGTACTTTTGAAGCGCATGAGTATGTAGATCACGACACTTTGGAAAAACGTTGACACGGAACGAGTGATTGCATACATCATCTCTTTAATTGCCATGCCGTCGTGGTCCTCGTTGTCCTGGGTCGCCCTAAAGATTGCTGCCGGAACCTTTCATTCTTCACCTAGAACTTCTTGGCCAATCGGCCTTGTGTATTGTGTCTGAATGACGTTGCATGTGCCACTTCTGCCGGAAAAATCTGAAGGGAAATACAATCGCTTTATTTGTTTGTGTGATCGGAAGTCACCGGCGTATCGCGATTTTCAAGTTGCTTGAACTCGACGTTATTGGAAATAAGCTGGAGATCCATTTAGATTTATTTTGACAGCACATTTCCATTTAGTGTGTTTCATAAGAAACCCATATTTTGACTGGCCTGCAGAGGATTCTGCAGGTCCCAAAAAGTAATTATTACAATATCAGTAGAGGCGCACTTTCCGTGGATGATGAATATATTTCAATTGCAGTAAACGTAACGTACAGCCATCATGCCAGTCCTACAATGTAGCATTAAGTACCCAATACTGCTGCCGTATTCAGTGTCAGTCGATGTCTAAATCTTGGAGAGACCTAGGTCAGTATCATGACTGCGACCCCTTTATTTAAGGCAGTTGACCTTTGCCTTTGGTCACTGGCACAGTCTCGCACACCCTTAGACGTTGCTCGTGTGTCTCAAGGTTAGGAAAGTGCTGGAAATCATTTTAGGAATGGGAACAGCCCTTAATGGCATATATCGCTGTCGTTATTACAGCCCTTTGAAAATAGATACGCACATAGACATATTGTAACTATGAATCTTGGCTTTCACGCTAAATCGTTGATCAGAAATGTATGCAAACCTCTTCATCAAACGTAACAGGCGTACCTAGTCTAAAAGCAGACATTTCCCGTTCTAACAGGCTGGTCCTGCACACAGGTGCTGCCTAACAGGCACCAGTGTTGTATTGCATCTATACAATGTGTATGCATCAGTGTGTCATATCGTACTGGCCTATGCATAGCTTTATTGGGCTGGCTGTAAAACGGCATCTTCTCGTTGAGTGAGCACCCTGTCGGATTTTGTCGTGTATCTGGCCTTTCTACTCTGGCTTCCTCCGCTATCAGTTAACATGAACGATGGTTGCAACAGTGGCAACGGGATGCAAGACGGAGTTTAGCATTCCGCATTGGTTACCCATCAAACGTAAAGTCACCTACGGTGAGCGTCTGTCTCGATCTGGCTGTGCCCCAATGCAGATTTGAAGTAACGCGAAGGTCTTCGACGCGCGCGCATGAGCTAATGCGGGGTCACAATTGTAGATTAAATTGTCATTTTCTAGGTGACTAAGATGAAGGCTGTAGTGCGGTTATTCGTGCAGACGCAGCGACACTGATAGCAATGGGGAATCTCACCGACGCGCTTAGCTTCGGGTGGGCAACAACACAACGATCACTCGTCTTCGTGGTCCTCTACACCGTTTCCTGGGTCGTCCGGCTCCTAAACTAGCTAGAAAGTCAAGATTATACTGAATGTTACATTGCAAGAACAGCTGTAAGCTCACTTCAACTATCCAGTAATCTGTCTAATAGCCGATCATTCATCCCACTTGTTCAGGCCAATAGCGGCGACAAAAAAGCATTTCATATGTTTACCTTACAAGATTTGTACTCGTCGATTTCTCCATGGCCTGCCCGAAATAGATGCTCTTCGTGTTGGTTTTCGTCGAATATGTAAATTCGTATTGTGATATTTGGGCCGTGTACACGAAAGAACGCAGGCACGCAACGACTCACGTATGAGTCACGCTGCTGTACATATACTATGCTGTACAACCCGCGATAGACAGCTCGGGATTCGGGCTTTCGGCAGAAAGACTTCTCATTATTTCACACGCATAACGCAAGCTATATGCGATCGTGATTAGAGCTTTGCAACTAGCGGAAAGCCGATAGTCGAGCCACGGACCCCATAGAGTCATCGCGAATTTCGGTGATGTGCTAATGTCGGGCACAGGGTTGCTTGCTACTAGCAAACACAAAGAAATTCAGGACGGTATCCGTACTGAGCCCGGTATAACTCCCCGTACCAATCAGGGCAGCAACACGCTGATCAATCAGGCTACAAGCTGCTTCGGCAGCCACACGCGATAACCGTAGGAACAGTTGAGTCGCAAAAAGTAGAACAAAGCGGCACTGACCTCCTCGCTACACAGATAGCTGTTGCAACGAGGTAATTTTGGACGCCATTGGCTTCAAAGGCATACGAGCATAAGCAAATAGAATTGCCCTATCTGATATGAGCCAATGTAGTGACATGTAGAATTAATGGTAACACCAGGGTAGATTAGTATTAGAAGCGCCGCTAGAGTTTTATAATGGTTGGTAATCACTACAAATTGATATGCAACATCTTTTCAACAATAAGGAATTTAATCATGTGTAAATATAGTTATCAGAGCTCACGGAAATGCTGTCTCTTGTCAAACTTTTAGAAGCTCTTTCTGGACGCATCGAGAGCCTCAGCCCGCATGTCGTAGGAGGAGAATTTCACTACCTGAATCTTCTTGGCTTTCTCCGTATTCGTTCTGCGTCGCTTTTCAGTCTGCGCGGACCTAAAACTAGGTTGACACTATCACTTGTTTACTGGCACTAGTTTAGATTGTGTGCGCTTCATCAGGACGGCCAAACAAACTGCTGGTTCTTCAGATCGCTAGCCAGATCGGGTTATTAATCGTATGGTAAAAGGAAATGTTTGATCAATGGTCGCTGCATTCCACCTTAGCCGATGCGCTCAAGAGCGAACGCTTGTTTCGTACGCGTTTCCCCTCAACGGATTAAGGCAAGCCTTTTAGCGGCCGGCTGCGTTTAGCATAGAGGACGTCAAAGTTGAAGTCGTTATCGATAATGACTTCCGAATTGGACGTGGGGTACTAAATACCAAATAGAACGTAACACTGAACATATTCATCGTTTGCTATACGTTTATGTACTGGTCATCGACGTAATTTACTGCAGAATTTTCTAGTTCGTTTAAATAGTAAAGAAAAAGAATGTGAGCCTTGTTTTATCGGAACCTCGCAAACTTACCTTCTTGCTTCGCCCTTTTTTTTAACACTTAGATCCTTTATGTTATTATTAAACGCACTTTATTATGTTGATGCTAGACGTTAATATAATAAAGTTCTTTTTTGATACGTTGCTTTTTAATAAAAATTAATGTTATTACTCTTAAGATTGTACTAAAAACAGTCTAAATACTTGCACTTGAGCTTTTAACTCTTTGTAAGAGGAGAGGCTCCTATGCAGATTGAAATATTGATTCGATCTGGCAGCTCCTGGATCTGTACTTGAACAGGCCATGACAATTATTCCACCTTTTGCTATTAAGTGGAGTAAGTTTGCTCCGTTTTCTAATCTGAAGACAGTTACTTTTTGCCGTTAAGTCCCGTTAAGCGAAAATACATACAAATACATATTTGTACATGGTAATCGAATATAAAACCTTTCGATCTGGCTAGCAAATACTGGCAGTACGCGTACCCTAGACGTTATATTATATGTATGATAATTTATTATTATATTATAATAAATTTAGATAATTCTTGTGCGAGGTTTTGTTCTTCATATGGACAACCTCGCTTGAGGGCATTTGAAGACCTCCTAATCTAATAGTCTTTGCTAAATTGTATTGCTGTCTTATGATAACCGTTAGTCATTGTATGTTATTCACCGTAAGTTAGGCCTCGTTTATTCGCCGAGCGATAGAAAGGCCATCTGAGAGAGGTTTCTCTTCGTTTATCCGGACTGCGCCGAACGTAAAATATACACACGAGGGCAGCGGTGTAAAAGTGAAACACCTAGCTTTACGCCCGTGTTCCTGGCTGGTTCTAAATGTATGCGTAGATTGTATACCATAGCACGATCGCCGTTGTTCTCGTCAAACGAAGCTTGTTTCACTCACTTTCGGCTGGCTCCCACCCTTACTGGTGATTCGTTTTGAGTCTGGTTAAGAGGACCGCCGGGTAGTACAGTCTTTCAGATACTTTTAGCTGGTTGCTCCGAACGGTGGCGGTCGTTAGCAGATTTAGTGACTGAGATTTCTTTAACTCGGCCCAGTGAAGCGCAATGATTCGACCTAACTAAGAGTTGTAATCGCGCCTTTCGCTCAGATTGGTTCGTCGCACTCCTGATACGAGCAAGCCACTAGCCAAATAGATATGGCGGACCAGATTTCAATGGTTGCACATTACGTTGGTCATCCCAATGCGCACCCAGCTCTCCTTCCCGGGGAGCCTCCTTCTCCTGCGCCGGAGGCGTCTCGGCCGATCCGGGTTGCTCCATCCATTACGGATATTCCGGCCTCAGCTGCTGCTGTTGCTGATGCTTCGCCAGCTGCCCCGGCGACACTTTTAACGCCGACTGCGCCGAAACCATCAGCAGTAGCTTCAGCTGCGTTAATGGGTTCCTCGACGGTGGCCCACTGCGTAGGCCCTCTGGTGAGAGGATAGAAGTTTAATGTGAGAATGATTAAAATAATCGTTGCTGTTGCTGTGTTGAATGCTATGCATTATGAATTGTGTCATGTGTCTTTTGACTTCACGAAAAGTAAGAAGCGTGTACGAAGTTTTTCCGATTACTTTGTTAATAAACGTACGACGAGCTAAGTGTTTCGTTCGGTGCCGTCTTTTAGACAGAACCAGCCGCAACTGGAGTAGCAAAGGAAACAGTTGCTAGGACGAATTCGGTGCCACGGCCCGTATTAACATCGGTGCCTCACGCAGCCAAGCCTGAGGTAACAACAGTATGCGTAATGAATGAACAGATTTCTCGATAGACCTTACCTACCCCTCCCCCCCCCTCCACGTAAATACGAAATTGTTGCGTGGTGAAGTAATTTGACGGAGGAATTGATAACGTTGTAATGAGGTGAAAATAAACATTTCCACCGATGCATCTCACGGTCATATTAAAATCTAACTAACTTATAATGTTTTTGGTGTAGGCTGAATTAGGTGCTACACTTGCAGCTGAAACATCGAAGGAACCGGCTGCTAAAACGGACCCTCTGCCTCCCCTGCCAATGTCAGAGCCTCCCACCGCTGAACCGAGACCGGTAAGGCGAGATCTCAACATACCCTTCCATAGTGAATGACTGAGCACGATAGCTATGACCTTCATGCTTAATTCAACTTTGTTTGTTACAGGTCGAGGCACCTACTGCGGATGTCGAGGCTCCTCCAGCTACACCTGCTACGGTTGCGCCTGCACCAGCAGTAGCCCCAGCTGTGGCTGCTCCAGCCGAAGTCCCAGCTGTGGCTGCTCCAGCCGAAGTCCCAGCTGTGGCTGCTCCAGCCGAAGTCCCAGCTGTGGCTGCTCCAGCCGAAGTCCCAGCTGTGGCTGCTCCAGCCGAAGTCCCAGCTGTGGCTGCTCCAGCCGAAGTCCCAGCTGTGGCTGCTCCAGCCGAAGTCCCAGCTGTGGCTGCTCCAGCCGAAGTCCCAGCTGTGGCTGCTCCAGCCGAAGTCCCAGCTGTGGCTGCTCCAGCCGAAGTCCCAGCTGTGGCTGCTCCAGCCGAAGTCCCAGCTGTGGCTGCTCCAGCCGAAGTCCCAGCTGTGGCTGCTCCAGCCGAAGTCCCAGCTGTGGCTGCTCCAGCCGAAGTCCCAGCTGTGGCTGCTCCAGCCGAAGTCCCAGCTGTGGCTGCTCCAGCCGAAGTCCCAGCTGTGCTGCTCCAGCCGAAGTCCCAGCTGTGCCAGCTCCAGCCGAAGCCCCAGCTGTGCCAGCTCCAGCCGAAGCCCCAACTGCGCCAGCTCCAGCCGAAGCCCCAACTGCGCCAGCTCCAGCCGAAGCCCCAACTGCGCCAGCTCCAGCCGAAGCCCCAACTGCGCCCGCTCCAGCCGAAGCCCCAACTGCGCCCGCTCCAGCCGAAGCTCCAACTGCGCCCGCTCCAGCCGAAGCTCCAACTGCGCCCGCTCCAGCCGAAGCTCCAACTGCGCCCGCTCCAGCCGAAGCTCCAACTGCGCCCGCTCCAGCCGAAGCTCCAACTGCGCCCGCTCCAGCCGAAGCTCCAACTGCGCCCGCTCCAGCCGAAGCTCCAACTGCGCCCGCTCCAGCCGAAGCTCCAACTGCGCCCGCTCCAGCCGAAGCTCCAACTGCGCCCGCTCCAGCCGAAGCTCCAACTGCGCCCGCTCCAGCCGAAGCTCCAACTGCGCCCGCTCCAGCCGAAGCTCCAACTGCGCCCGCTCCAGCCGAAGCTCCAACTGCGCCCGCTCCAGCCGAAGCTCCAACTGCGCCCGCTCCAGCCGAAGCTCCAACTGCGCCTGCTCCAGCCGAAGCTCCAACTGCGCCTGCTCCAACCGAAGTGCCACCTACGCCTGCTCCAACCGAAGTGCCACCTAGCGCTGCTTTAGTAGAGACCCCGGCTGCACCTATGGAAACGCTCGCTACCCCAACGGAGATTCCAGCCGCTCTTGTAGCTCCCTCAGCTGCATCCACTCTAGCCGAAACCCGTGCTACCTCTACAGAGGCTTCCGCCCTGCCGGCTATACCCTCTCAGACTCTTCCAGGGACTATCGCTGCCCAGGAAGAAGGCTCTGCTACTCCTGTAGAGGCACTACCTATCATACCAGTGGCCCCTCCATTGGTAGAAGCAGCCCTAGCAGCGCCGGTCGAGACGCCCGCAGAAGGACCTGCGGCGCCTGTGCAGGTTAACAACGCCTCTAATGAAGCTCCGGCCGCTAGTCCGGTTGCTTCAAACGAGGCTTCCGCTATTCTTGCACCGCCTGCGGAGACCCCGATCACACCAGTCGAAGCACCCACGGTCCCTGCTCCGGTAAGCACGTAGAATAATCATAATGAGAACAATGATAAAATCATAAAAATATATTATGGATGTTATAGCCAGTCAACTTGTATCTATTGTCAATTTAATTTCACCTGATAATAATTCTGAAACAATAAAATCAAGGCATATTTACATCGTTTTTACATCGTATTTTCAGTGGGGAGTGAGTAGCTTCTAATTAGTTTATTGTGCCTCAGTCCTTTCCCCCTAAAAACTTTGCCTTCGTTGAATTTCCTGCCGGCTGTGCTGTGCTGTGCGATGCGATGTAACGTACAGAGCTGACAGATTACGTGTTCTGTATGGTTACCTACAACCCTGCCTCAATGACACAGTCCTGTCTATCCATTCTGTTAACCAACCTCAAGCGTGAGCTTCAGCTTGTCCTAACCTAAAACCTAACGTCCTGCAGGCGTCGACCGACCTTTGTGTTGACGAGATCCGGCCGTGTGAATCCGTCCCCATCCCAACGTGTGACGTGAATTCATTTCCTCCGCCACCACCATGTGACGCCCCAGAACCTTGTATCGAGGTTGAAGTCACCTCAGTTGAAGAGATCACTGAGGAAAAAAGCGTTTGTAAGGAACCTCCGCCGGAGCTTGTCGACGCTACCGAAAATAGCCACGTAGAAAACGAGAGCGGTGGTGACACGCAAGACAACACGCAAAAGAAAGATGGAGGATCAACTGAGTATAGTATACACTCCCGGGCGGTGCCCACTGTACCTACAGCTGAACAACCGGTCAAGCCAACAACTAAACTAGCTAAGACGTGCCTCGATGGAGTCAATCCCGACCATCTGCCTCCAACGCCGGCGGATTCGACTCCTGCATCCGATTCACCCGTTGAGTCGCCGGTTCCCGACCATCGAAGCAATGAAGACGTCAAACAACTGCCGTCCCCTCAGCTTGAGCAACAGGTGGTTCCTACTGATTTGTAACTTCTGCTCGTGCACGGGTTCGTTGCAGATCGGGCCTAAGCTGCCCAGCCGGGCACTGAGTCATAGTAACTAATCGTAGTAATCTGATCTATATTATAATAAATCGTAGATGAGGGTGAACGTAATCATCGAGTTCATATATCTCCCAAGTTTGTACTAACGATTATTGGTTCCCCACGCGACCAACAAAAACTATGTCATTAAGGTTCTTAGTGACGGAATGTAAGAATGCTACAAAGTATACTGATAATAATGATTATGACAACAGTATTTCAGAGTCTGCGGCTGAATAGCGTACCGTCTTTATATGTTAAATGACACTTATATAATAAGCTGAACATACGAGCTAGACTAGTCGAGCCACAACGTTGCATGACACGTTTTATCGATAGGAAACGATCACTTCTTATATTAGTCTATATTTAGCTGATTCAGATGACGACGACGACGGCCATGATGGTACCGACCATAGTAGCGCTGATGTGTTTTTCCTTTAATAGCCGGTCGAGTATATCAATAATAGATAAGATCTCGAAATGTCAGATTTCTACATTGATGTCATATCGCGCCGTACAGAGTTACTGCCAGTGGTAGAATTATGGAAATGCTGCTCCATGTGGGCCACAGCTTCACAAACACACACAGATACACACAAACGCACGTGCACAACCAAAAAACAAATCCGCTTTGACAAAATTAACCTTAAATGCTGCAAAGCTTTTCCTCCAAAAGAACGGTAGTTTTATGCTGACCGAAAGGCTTAAACGGAAGGATTTTAACGACATAACGTGACCAACTTGACCAATATCCTAAAACGCAAAAGATGTCTCTAATTAAATATCGAAAAAAATCAAAGAGCAGAAATACGATAGTATATCAAGCGAAAAAAAGACACTGGAGCAATAACCTATATAGATGGCTAACGTTTCGTATACGTAGACGTAAAGCTAGCCGCTCAGAAATGGGAGTTTCTATACGGATATTTTATACGTACACGATACATCTAGTAAGTCACCGTTTCGCCCAGCTTTACCCGCATACTGGGCGAAGAAGACATTTTTTCAGGCTATTCACACACGCCACATTGATCGAAAGTAATTTTCCTTCATTGTAAGTCTACTACACACTTACTATTACTATCGTCATTTCTAAACGTGACAGCACTGAGCGTGCCATCAGCATGGGAGCTTTTTAGAATTTTTTTTTTTATTAACGAATCAGACCCTTTTGACACCTTGTACCACGGTCAAATTTCGAACACAGAAAACCCGTATTTTTTTATAACTGAAAAATAAAAAAATATGATGTACAAATAATGTTAAATGTACTATTTAACATGATTTGTACAATTCAGATGGAGTATAGGCATCGTTCGCGATACTTGCGTCTTGCTAAGCAATTTTTCAATGAACTCTAATCGATACTGTGTCTCTTCGCATGATTGTCGGCACTGAGCCAATCATTGTATATATGAGGTTCTCACATAAGGGCGGCTGATATTTTCGCAAAGAAGGATCAAATTTTTGCAACTAAAAAGACGCTTTATGGTAATTTTGACAATTTGCCGACAAACTATGGAGCGAGCTCTTCTCGAGCATGCCCATTTTTTACATCACGTTTCCTTCACGCCGTTGAGTCCTATTACGTACAGAAAAGATGGGAGATTACTGGCAGATGAACACATTGCTTCCTATAGCTTGTGGAAAGGTTGCAAAGGCGTTATTAACGATGATGAACTATTATGCATTTCCATTAAGATGAGTCGAATTTTAGGTCCGCTTACAATGCCATCAAGTAAACTGTGCCATAGAGTGGTACATTTACACCTAAATAAAGGATATAGATAGTTATGATATACAAATTATGCGTGCTTTCTCTTATGGATAAGTTGTCTGGTTATTTTCGATATAAACCGAGATCACGGCGCGAATTTGATCGAAGTAGAGTTCGTCTACGGTAGCCATACTTTATACTTTGGACAGCCTTAACGTTTAATATCTTAACTGATATAGTACAATTCGATATAGGCTATTTGTGTCGAACTAAGGGATCCGGAAGGGAACAGTATCAAATCAAGTACTCTGAAAACATTGCCGGCTTTTTGTTATATAGTTTATAAGCATTTTACAGGCTGTGACAAATAAATAGGTTTCGAGAATCGATCTCACCTAGCTTTTTTCGTTAAGCGTATCTAGAATACGCTGTAATGCTAAACTACCAAACTCATCACTGACATTTTAATTTTGTGTAGTTTATTGGTGCTCAACTGAGACAGATAATGGATGAAATTTCAGTGACCTTTCAAGCGGAAGATCATCATTTACGGCCATGTCCCCAATACCTGTTTGTTACCGTCGAACGGCTCCATATCGCACATTCTGACCATTCTGTAGAGCTTTAATTTTATATGCTTCAAGCACCTTTCTATTATATTACCGTTCCCGTCTCTTGAAGAAAAGGTTCCCAACGATTGAGCGAAATATCAACACGTACCCTCCCCGAACGGACCATTTCAGCTCCTCAAACTGGGCATTACGACACCCGGTTTATGTCTAAGAGTACCAAAATCTAATATTTGCAAACCAACGTTTTTGGGCTTAAGTTCTTTTGTATCAGCTCATTTTTAAGGGAAGGACGTCTACGAAACACTCGTTTAGCTTTACGAATATTCATCAAATACAATATTGCTAGTGGCAGAAGCCGGTACTACTGCAGGTACGTAACAGAAAAGTGTATCAGAGTCGTTGTGTCACAAGCTCATGCTCAATTACTATACCTGACAATGTTTATTTGAAAAAAAATCCACAAAACATTTACGGAAACCTAAATTTGACGATTTGTTAAATAAGTTCGCATAAAGTTACCGGATTTCACGAAGTTCTACGATTAAAACACATAGCTGATTTAAATGGGATATAGTCACTATACTTATCACATATTCAAGCATACAGTTTATTTTCATACGCAAGGAAGTCGATCGTCACGGGACGTTTCAGCGGCATAATTTTGGGCTTCATGTAAGTGTTTCCATAAAATTTGGGGAAAGTTTCTCGAATTTATTTCATTGGTACACTACAATATATTCAACGTGGCCACTGTGGTTGGAACAGTTTTAACGTTTATAAAAACTTTACCAAATAGAGAGACGGTTGCCAATATGACATGCTCTGTGGTTTACCGTTGAGTCTATGTGCTACGGACCCTGTGCCAGCACGTATTTAATAGACCTTTTAGCCGTCTTACAACATAGTACGCGTACCTTCCCTGATATATGCTTGTCACCGTTGATCCAACGTTTATCACGTTTTTTTAACTGTGCAATCCTATGGTATCGCATTCAGCAAGGACTATCATATACCCCTTTGTCTTTTTTGTTTTGTTGATTTTTTTGTTTGCGTTTTGTCATTTTGATGGCTGCTTGACGAAATATACGTTAAAATTTTTTGGCTAATCAAATAAATCGAAATATATTCATGTTATTAGTTCACGATATGAAAGTCACACGGATATGTAAAGTACACTTACACGATTGCCGTCAATCGTACTGGCAATGTTAGTATAAGATCCAAAGAAATCATTCAAGATACTTGCTGTTGTGGAAGCTGTATTTCAAAGGTTCGGCATTATTCATTACAAATAAATACAAATAAAGTTCAACATTTGCATATCGGTTTCTATACTTCAGGGAAATTACGAATGTGACGACAGCTTCCACGGCTCTGCTTGTGTAAGCCTATATGGGAATATAGGTAAGCTATAGTAATGCGTTAGGTGGGTACGCTCGCGTGACACAGCAGAGTTCCTCGAACTTCGCTTTATTCAACAATATCCCACTTTGACTATGGTAGGACCTGGTCACTCCCTTCCCCTTTTTCTGAAATTCGTCACGTACCTGGATACTTCCGTCTTCTTCTAATGTCTCTATGCCCGCCTATGTTCAAAACGGCATTACACCTGACGCAGGTTCTTGAACAGCCAGCGCATCAGTGTCGTCTCCTTCCTTCATTTCTGCGAATACGGCGTTCCCTTACAATCGCCCAAAGCTATTCTCACCGATAAATCAAGACTTTGGACCCGGAGCGCAAAAACGCAACGTTTATATACAACCCTGTAGCACAATCTTGTGCGCAGAAGTTTAAACCCGGCTGTTGACTGGTAGCAGGGGGCGTTGCTCGTTCAAGAACCATCCCTTGCCATTCTACCTCTTGGTTCAAATCATGGCGCGCGGTCCGTCTACGTCATCTAGCTGTGGCGCCCTCTGTGAGACGTTCGCAAAAGACTCACCGTTGGCGGCAGAGTAGGGACGGGGCTCGACCGGGGTAGCTATTGGCTAAGATCATCACGGTGAACTTACCGCTAGGGCCAGCAAACAGGGGCGAGCAGGCAGTTGGTTAGTCTTCGATCTGTGCCGCTGTTGTAGAATTGACGGGGTCGTGTGTCAGGCGCCAACTATTTAAATCGGCTCTATACAGCAAGCAGCTCAATATCGTTGGATGACTAGTGCTGCCACAACAGGCGTTTGCGGCTTCTAAAAACGGTGATAGCCAGCTGTCCGCAGAGCAGAAATGTGCTGGTAGTGGCTAGTAGTTGTTGATTGGCTGTAAGTTACTTTTTCGAGTGCGTATCAATAGTTGGCAGAAGGTTCCGTCATAAGACAGTTGCCCATGTTTATCTTAAAGTTGGTGTAGTGTCCTGTGCCAGTTGACAGAGCAAATTTTGCGCGCGGGAACTCTGTGAACTTTGAATCGTTATCAAATGAAATCAACATTACGAATTTATTTCTGCAAGTGTCTCCGAGTGCGGTGTTTTTGTCGTTAGTCAGCATCTTCATTCAGACTAGAGCGTGGAAACGAACCGTATTCAGTTCATACGTGTTCGAAGACGAGATTTATAGTTAATTTGACAGTTCTCTCTCGTTGTACCGTTGCCGCGCTATAGCGACATACAGTTGAGTGTTAAACTAAATCCTATATAACTAATATAAGTTTTACTTAAATATGCAGATTTGTATGGACTAGAATAATCAATCTTATTACTAGCACTGTTATTATTACAATGTTATTACTATTATTAAGAGGACACGTAGTGCTTTCCGCAAAGAGCTGGTAGAACACACAGGGTTTTCACAGTGTGTAAGAAGAGTGTCCGTAACAAACATGTGGTGCTTGAAAGTAAAGCGTCGTTAATCAACACTAATGGTAGATACTAGTAATTAGAGCGACTTTATGTACACTACTAAATATAAGCACCGCATGTCTGGCGTAGATAGCCAATGCAAAAGGTGTCAAGTAAGTTCAGATTCATAATAACTCGATTAGGACAAGCATAATCGACAAGCCTCAAAGAGCGGCTATAAAATATATATTAAATACAGGAATAGCAGAGAACTTCTGCGAGGTGGTGGCTAGAGGTAGCAAGTTACCTGCCCCGAGACATTTTCACTTGGTTGATTTCATGTTGTCATAGTTTAGCGATGCTGCTGTTGTACGAATGCAGAAGGGGTCATTGAGACCAATAAAAAAAAAAGACATTTTTGTCATTTCGTCGACAATGGTTGTCTTGTCCACCGACGTTTTCACCGCGGTACGAACTCCTGCTACATCGTTTACCACTTAGCCTTTCGTATTTTTAGTAACGTTTTTGAATTGTTTACGTGCCGTTGTTATAACAGCTGAAACGTGTACAGTTAGTCAATTTGTTTGATTTATCTGCGCTTCTTTTTTGACTACGCTTCACGCCGGCGCTGGGTCGTGATTGTGGTAGGTCAGCGAAAGGGAAAAAAAACGCAACTGAGCAAATTCAGCTCGCCTAATCAACGAGTTGTGATATTACATGTGTCGTTCTTATGCAGCTTTATCTATCTCGCTCCTTCGGGACGCTCACATCCTGGCCGGCCCGAAACGTCGGGCCAGCAACGAATGGCCTAGAAGACACATTTGGGACCCCAAGGCATCGTTGACATCATTCTCGACTAAAACGATGCTACTGTGGTGCTTAAGTCGTGAGAGCGTTGCCATCTCGGAGACGACTGGAAGCGCGAGTAGTGCCGGGGAACAACTTTCGAGAAAGGTACTTACTCTAATCGTAAAGATCGAACGGGGGAAAACGAAGGGAAACAAAAGCGAGAGCAGTGATCAGCAACAAAACAATGGGAGAACGCACAACATAGAAACACTTAAGAAGTAAGAAACGCAGTAGGAGCAGTTGGCGCTATCGAGTAGTCGTATGAGCTAAACTGGCTTTTTGCTAGAGTCTGCTGCGAAATGGCTACACTAGATCAATGGTACACTAAAATTTTTCCACGCTGCTATCACGCACTATTGCACAACTCCATCTGAGCTTTGGTTTCGAACGCGGAGCCAGTAGAAGAGATCGTCGCGTCGCCATTCATCGATAATCTTTTTATTGCCGTTGGGGTTTGGTGTAGTTAGTCGGCACGACGAAAGGCCCTGACAAGAACCCTCTTTTTCGGATCTCTGCTGCGGCTGTTATGATCTATCTCAGTCAAGCGTCGGTCGGCTGGAGCGAAGGTAGAAGGCGCCCGCAGCAGGTCTGGAAGGGTCGCAGTAGCAAGACCAGAGAACAAGTGATCGATTAAGCTCAAATATTGGCCGTCGCGCATTGTTCGGGGTGGCATTACCTGCCCTACATTACCTCGCACCTTCGCGTCCCCGTAATACACGCATGTAGTCCGCACTCGCAGTAGCACTAAAGTGATAGTTAACGAGATAACACGTTTCGAAGCAAAGGTAAATTCATTTGCAACGCCTTAATCATTAATTGTACTATATACTGTGAGGTATCGAGACGCTTATTCCTTTAAAACTGTCTTAGCAGTTCTTTGGAGAATGACGAGTCACTGATGGCTATAGCGGCTAACAATAAGCATGATACGTCTACCGTGCGAGCGTATATACACGTATGTGTATACATATAGAAAATCAAAAAGTTTATGTTCACGTTCGCGCTGCAGCCATGAAGACCGATCAACTTTAACGATTATTTCAATATCAGAGCATGCACATGGCTAGGATGCTAAGGCATACATAAAGAATACACCGAACGTTGTCTTATTTGAAAATATGTCCGATCACAGCGCAGAATCAGATTTCTAAAGGGACCGATAATACCGTCGCAAGTTTCGTGGGCAACAACGATAACACGCTTTAAGCCTGACGTGAAGATTAACGATTATAGTACGATTCAGATGCCGCAACCAAAAACAACTGATTAATGTTATTCCTATATGATATTATCGTGACATTATACGTTGTTTCGTGATCTTACTCGATAACATTACTTCTACAGTCATTTTTTTTTTCATTCTAACCGAAATCTAATCACTCACAGCATACCGTTATTTATACGTGCTCTCTATATATATACGTACGTGTGTGTATTGTAGTTTGTGTTTTATGTGAAGATCTTTGTGATGACGTTCGTCACGATTGACGAAGAAGCGGTACTTAGGACATTATTTGAATTGAAATGAAGATACCATTATAGGCCGCCAATGTTGTTGATTAATTGCTTGGCTATGGCACCATTTTATCACAGTCATCCGCCTACAGACTTCCAGGTCTCGTTCTGTTAACCTACATACATAGAAGATTGTGCCGGGCCACAATCAGTGGATGTCAGCTCGCATGCGGAATACTACCTATTGATGTACTCAAAAAAAACGTATAGTTGTTGACAATGCAACAAAATACACATACGTTCGGCATCCGAAGATGATATTTCTACATACATTAACTGCAACTCAGTCGAGTGGCCTGGTAGTGAAGATTCAGACCACCTCTACACATGATCGATTGCCATCATTGCTGCTTGTATCACCTAGTAGCTGGGAGTTCTCAGATTGTTTTTGCACGCTATGAATCAGATCCGATAGATTTTCCGTCTGCTGCGTCAGTGTTGTTATAGTAATTTACCTCGAAGTGCTAGAATTGGATATTTCTATACTCCTAAAAAAAAAAAAAAAAAGTCATAACATAAACATACTGTGTATTTTTCATTGATATTGGTTAGAAAGAAAACGATTGCTAGGTGTGTGTCTTGCTTATTGCTTAGGGCGAATCATATACAGCTAACAATGATGTCATAGTAGAAAGTTCTTCTGTTGTACACTTGGGCAAAAAAATTTCGATTTAGTCAGCCGAATTAGAGTCACGTGTTTAAACCAAACAACGAAGAACTTGTAGTTCTTTTTTGCCAGTTAGCAAATAGTGTTTGTACAGAGGAATATAAAAATTATTGGCGTCCAAAGATAGACGGCCATAAGGCATTACCTCAATGACCTAAACATGTTTCCAGGCAGCTTTTGTTCCTGCAGAAGCGATTCGAAATAGATAAAGTCAGGCCCGATGGTTTTTTTCTCGGTCACAACGACGCTTTGCAGTTGAAATCGCTCAAAAATCTTCAACAATACAAATAGCCTATTGACGGAATAGCTTGTTGCAGATATTGTTTCAATTGATATCATATTTAATGTATCTGTATTTTGTCTATTTTGTGCTATTTTGACGTTACTATATAGCTTTATCTTCAAGGACCTATCAAAATTGATCGCCTTTGTTTGGTAGTGTGTCATTTTCCTTACAAACGTACATTGTCATTTTCGCGTTAGAATGAATTTACATACTTTTCACCTATGCCAAGACTGTTCTATCAATATATTTGCTTAACTACCCTATAGACTAGTATTTTCTCTATGGATCCCTTATGACCATTGGAATGTTGCGTTCGGTCTTAATCTCGCATCTCGTTCGTATTCGGAAATTGCTTCAGAGATAAGAATGACGCTACCCTAGACGAACACCGTTCCGTAAAGGCGGAACTATCTGCGAATTCATCTGTAGGAAAAGTCTTCAAGTCGGCCAAGCTCTCAGATTGTTTCCGATATCTAGCAGTAGGACTATAGATAGATACTCATCAATAAATTATCTAAGGAAGTTCTCTACCTTAAATCTGCTTAAACCCGTGTGGTTATCGACGAATAACCTGTTTTTCCTTGTTTACCTTTCCGCCGATATCTCGGTAATAGTGATGACACTGCCAGTGGCCATTTAAGTCAGTCCCCTTGAGCTTTTTTTGAACACGATCATAGATGTGTTCCACACAATCACTATTACCATGTCAACTACGACGATTTTGTGTATTTGTATTTATATATATATATATATATATATATATAATATTTGTACACCTGCGATGCGTGTTTTTGTCCCAAATGGTGTTAAACTATTGTCAATTTGTCCCAAGAATTATTACAATGCCAATGATCCCTTGTGTGATCCCTTATGGTTTACGCTTAGCTGCTTTCCAATAGTAGCACAGTATCAACTCTAAAACGTCAATTTGTATAGATCTTGTCAGAAACTATTCGGCCAGCAATCGTCTTCCTAGGTGCCAACGATGGCGGCATCGACAGGAAAAAAACCTGTTTCTCTTTTGCTAGCGTCGATCAGTTTGTTGGGCCTGAGTGCAACGTCACCTTTTTCATCACCAACGGCAAAGGAGCTCTTCTGACGATCATTGACAAAGTCGTGTCTCGGCGCGTCATCGAACTTTCAATTATGAATGGTCACGCTTTGTAAGCCAATTGTCGCCCACCGTGCCACCGTGTGAGCTGGCCAGCCATCAGCAGTGTGTCGACAGCTCTAGCTATAACAGCATAAGCAGAACTCTCCCGATTGCGAGCACTGCTTATTCCCGAAGCAATCTGCTATATTATCCCATTATTGTTCACTGCCGAAGCTGAACGCAAAGGTTCTTTTTCTATGGGACAGTTCGAACCTTACCAGGCCACGGCTGAAGTCGACTCATTTGTTTACCGACGCGTCACTTTTTTGCTCTGCAAGAGCAGCAGTTGTAGCGACAGAAACTGCCTAGACTTGGTTCGTTTTTCTATTTTCTCCAACAGCAGCATACGATGATAATTCGTCTTGCGATACGAACGCAGCACTTGTTCATGTATGCAGTCTGCTGTGAGATTTAGGCAGCGGCAGGGGAGTCCCGTTGAAAACGGGTTGTCAATAACAACGAGAACCGTTAGTTGTTAGTCTCAGTCCGACTGACTGCAGTACAGTTGCTGCTCGTGTCAATCCTGACGCCAGCCAGCCAGCCATTTTCTTTGGTGGCAAATATGATATCAAGTTCCGGTTGTCAGCGCCGCCAGCGCCGCCGCCGCCGAAACAGCTGTAGCCCAATAGTAATGGCGTTCACAGCCCAAACAGCTATACCGGTCGGTACAAAGTGGACCCAAAAGATGGCAATAGCCAAAACTGCTTGCCATCGCCACTTGGTGCAAAATTTCCCGACTGACAAAAGTGCTTTCTTCTTTGTCCGGCCAGCCTTCTAACAGAAGATCCCGCTATTATCCCCCTGTGAACCCGGGCACCGCCGTCGTGTCTATGGGCGTATGACCCAGAATTGATGGATGCGCAACGAACATTGCTAGATAAATAAATAGATAGAGTAAGTAGCTTGCGAAAAAATCCCTCGATTCGCCTTTTGGTTCTACTCAACTTGAGACGTCTTTTAAAGTGGACTGAACGGCTGGAGATGAGTAAGAACTGCGTATTGAGCGGATTCACAGTGCTGATGAAAATAACGGATCGAGGTGGAAAACGACGAGACAAAATAAGAAAACAGAAAAAACATCGAACACATTTTCTACATCTAAACAAAAGTAAATTGTTTAAACCAAAAAAACTTGTTGTCGTTGGTTGGGCATCTTTTCTCATTTTGCCAATTTTCGGTTTTAATGTCCAACTCAACGAACGAGGTCAGGGATAGAGGTAATTTAAGAAGCAAAAAATAGGCAAAATGCGAACAGTCCGCAGATAAGAGCCGTCTCAAAGAGACAGAGCCAAGGGTGAACATATAAATAGCTATAAATAATGCTACGGATAGGACGCGGAAAGACGAGGTCAGTTTGGAAAACTGGCCTTCTGGCGAGGCCTTCTTTTGGTTTTTAGTCATAGTTCGTATTTTTTTCCGTGAACTTCTTTCTACACTATTTCAATATGAACTTTATGCGCGCCCAATAAGCCTGCTACGTCATTAATGAGTCGTAATAGTTTAGATATCAAGTTAGTATAATGGCCTGTTATGGCAGAAATAGTTTTATACGAACAGAGATTGTTTTTTTTTTTCTAAGGAAGTAACTCTTTTTTGAGCTACCTTTGCTACAGCTGTAGGATAAAAAGTATTTTTCACAGTTACCTCTGTGAAGTGATATGATTGTATCGACGTTTTAAATCAATGTGATAAAGTTATTTTTGATGCAGACGTTCTTAATTTAATGCTTTTGTTGTGTGTCGCTGCGCCATGTTGAGAGGCATAATTTTGGTGCCGCTATACCATATTGAGCTACGATTCACGTCCACACCAGTGTATAATGTTCTCCTGCCTCTCAAGTCATCATTCCATGTTTTTAATTTGACTTGATATTGCAATAATGTCTTCTGATTTACAAAAAAAGGACGATCCTCCATCACTTGGTATGACGGTAACGATGAATCGCCTAACGGAGACCAATAACAAGAAGAAAATATATATATATCGAAAGCTCTTCTTTTTTCGGCTATAGGGGATGTGGGTAAGGCTTTGTCATCTTGTAATCAAGCAGCGAATCGGGGCCTTGTGCTGGCGCTAAAGGATTTTTTTTCATTGACCGAAACCGAGTTGGAAAACGCGCCGACCAATTCATGCGTAACTAGATGTTAACGAGCGAATCCTATCGGAGTAACGAAAATCAACGTGTGTAGGTACGTTTGTTCTAACCCAGCTAGCAGTTAAAAATGCATATATCGTGATAATGCTCTGATTAAAAGCGATAGAATACTACTAAAGTTTTGCGCCATGTTATTTATAGTATGATGACCATTATATTCAATCTTTTGCGTTCTGATTAAATTTCGGTTACCCCGGCAGTGACGCGGTGGTAGGCGTCGAGTCGTGGTGATGGTTTTGAAAAATTTCAAAAAGAATGGCAACGATAAGTTAAAAGTAGAAAATCAAATAGGCCGAAACACTATAGGTAGCCATAAGTTCATTCATATAGGCTTGTTCTGTAGGCTTTTACTATTATTATTATTATTATTATCGTTTTTTTGTCCTTTTTTTGAAACTAATGAAGGCGGTATTATTCTATATATATTACACAATATGTATGAACGAATAACTTATTCAACTCTTTAGAAAAAAGCGATAGAGATAGGCTTTGCAGAGTGACCTACCAATACTAAAGTTACATTGCAAATTGTACAAACGTGTGCCGTACAGATAAAAAGAACGTATCAGCGTACGTGCAACTAACGGCAACGCTGAAGCCGTACGTCAACATTTGAACTCTATGCTGTAAATAGCATATCCGTTTAGAAGGCTGGCGGAATGATGGCCTTTTTGTCGTTCAGACTAGAAAAATATTCCTATTCCTTAAATTAAGTGGATGTTTTACTCGCGGTAGACATAAATAGTGACGAGAAAAAAGAAAATGGTTATGTGAGCAATCAGTGTAAGCCTACTATTCACCAAAATTTAACTTCGCTTACATGTATAAGCACAACTAGGGCAAGCAATCTTGTAAACAAGGACGCCAAAATAGGACCTAACTAATAAATGAAACTTGTCTTTCCGCCGCGCTGATTACGTCTGACCTCGCGATCATGCTGGGTTTATAATTAGTGCCGTCTTCAAGTGCGCTGCGGAAATGCTATTGCTGGACAAGTTTTTTTAATATGCTTGCCAAGATGCAGTTGACGCAGGAATAATGATACTTCTGTGAAAAGCTAATTACCTTTAATAGAACGGTGATAGTTTCAGACTATAAGTCGCGTCCTCACTGTCGAAAGTATTCAGATTACATTTTTTAAATATAAATTTTTGGTATAAATGTCGCTGTTTTAGGAAAAAATATCATGTAGCAATATATCTACAACTGTAAGAGAAGCACCAGTGTACTAGAAGGATAGGCTTATTTTTTATAGATATGACACCAACAAGAAGAAAGGATGTTTCAGTTGAAATAGCAAACTATAACCCGTAAAGCCATCTACGACATTAAAGATTCAGATGTATCTTAGGCTGCCTCTGCAACAAAGATCTAAGCAGCATGCCGTATTTGTCATTAGTTTCTTTTCTGCATGCCCAATATATCAGTGACTATATATATATATATATATATATATATATATATATATATATATAAACGTGTGTATCAGTACAATATCAGAAGCGCTCCGGATACCTGTAGTTTGTGTTTGATCCGTATGGAATCAAATTGTGTGTATGGAATGAAATCATGCATCCCCGCTGGGATCTGTAAATTGCAAACCAGTAGAGAACATCTTTGTTGAAAGTTTCTGAAACAAACAATCAGTCGATCAGACAATCAATCGATGCTTCCTACATTTTCGACATTATTGTCTAGAATTATTCGGAATATTATATCGTTGACCAAATGAAGTTGACCACATGAACTTAATAATCATGCAGTGCCATAATTCAATAGCGTATTTAAGAACACGGGACTACAAATAAGCGAATGCTTTGCCACAGCCGCATGCGGTAAACATAAATTAGATAATAACTTTAATAAGTTATCACTTCCAAATGGACACGCGGCAGCGTAATCAGATAACGCGACGAAACTAGCATACGACATTTGTTTCCATAGATGTCTGCAGGACACGAATTTCTTGAGAAGCTGGAAACTGTAGAAGCAGAGATCAAGGTCGAATCCGTCAGAATGGCCGCCATACAGGAGAAGCTTCCAGACGAAAACAGGTCAGTTGAATTTGAATAAAGTATCAAAACAGTTCAATGCTGTTATAAAACCCACAGTTAAGGCATGCAAGCGCAATAAACACAGATCATTTAGTTTCCGTTCTGTTTCCCCAGTATCGTTTTTCTTCAGGCGAGTTTACGTTTTTTGTTACCCTGTTAGTCATGTACCACACGGTTCGTGTCACAAGTACCACAATGCATTGTAAACGCTGGAAACAGATACAGATAATAGTGATCAAACATATATTAGGCCGGCGGAGCATTTACGAAAAACTATTATTGCGGTCCTGCAATTTAACATAACCCAGATGCGGTATCGATTGCTTGAGGTACGTTATGTCTACGATTAGTGGGTTTGCGCAATGTCTTGTACGATTCCCGCTTGTTGTTTCCGTTAAAACTCGTACGGCCTGCATAATAGCCTTGTGATCTAGCCCTTGACCAATACCGTTTTAGGTTAGGGTCGGCCATGGGCATCTTCTAAATGGATGTATTAATTCTTTCAGCCGACAATCGTTAATGATAATGAACGTCGAGTTGGCAAGATATTACTGCATGTCAGTTAATGTAGCGACGAGTCGCATCAATAGCAACAGTCGATTACCGCTTACTACAATGTGGCAACGATACTAGCTACATGATTGAAACTTAAAGGTAGCTATGGTATGAGGGACAACTTGAAAGGAGATGATAACAACATAAGTTAGCATATACAACAGCAAGCGTACGAATCAACTTTATGCTACGGGATAAAGAAGGCTAGATGCTGGTCACGAATGTCCCGAATTGGAGGTTTCCAGTACGCTTCGCCCCGGCGATTGATTATTTTTTTCTAGATTTCCGTGGCTCTCTCGTGCACTTGTCGACCGATTTCGACTGGCCCTGCTCCTTTCTTCCCTATTACTATCATTATGATCATAGTATGTTTAATTGGTTTTGCTATGCTTATCGCTCGTTTCGCGTTGCTTCAGAGAGGAGATCTCGTCCCGCATTGACATGGCAATTGGCTCAGCAAATCTAATTCTGGCAGGCAAATGTAAGCAGTTCCGCGATCTGTGTCAGAAGAATATTAACGAAAATTCCGGAATTCCGACCGAGTCCGTCGATGGCACGAAGAGCGGAAGCTCTGAGTTTCCTACCAGACGAGAGGATCTCGAAGGTAAGTAGTGAAACGAAGTTTAATGCATCAATTTTCTGATCCACAATGACTATCAGGCGAAATATCGATTGCGTCTAGGCACGAAGCGTTAGGTCGAACTTGAATCGAGCTCGATTGTGTTACAGAAAGCAGTATCCACTTGATGTTGTCGTAACGCGTGACTGTCATCATACGTACACGGGCTAAGTTAGAATCCGGAAACGGGAACTAGATTCCTACATTAGAATAAGTAAGTAAGGAATTAATTGAAGCATACTATGGATTTATGGAGAGGCAGAGGTCACCGTTGCGGTACGTAGCATACATTGATATCTATGTAACTTCTCTCTTCATCACCTTTAGCCAGTGTCAGTCAATTAATTGTATAATTGTACGTTACGCTGGTTAATGAAGTCCTGTTACCGGCTAATTTATCTATCACTGCAACCGTTACGGAGTTACGGACGTGGCGATAGCTTTGCCTTGATGTCTACCGCTGATTTCTCAGCAGATCAAAATGAGACCGTCATACATGTTTACGCAACCTCCATCTCTCCATTATCGAATCCTCGAGGCTTGTTTGCTTTAACTACGGTATAGGCTAAGCGTATATTGAGCGAATGGCTAGTAATAGTCGTTCGTCGTATGCTCATAACCTTGACCTTTGAAATATTCCTAATATAGACGTTTGCCGAGCTTGGATTTCGAGTAAGTTCTTCGACCTGAAAGATCAAATCGCTATCATATCAATGAGATGTTCGTGAGGTTTCTCTTCGGCTGTCGGGGACATAGCAACGAGGTATCACTCGCGCGTTAACGGTCACCCCACATCCACCGAATTTTCAGATGCATATTCTTAGTAAACCGAATTGTGCAGATATATCCCAACGAGCAACTGCGCCAATTATTTCGGCCAGAAATTTCATTTGTGAATCTGCCTGATGCGTATATATTCGTTTATAATATCGACTGGTTTTGCCTCTATAATAAATAATTATGTTTTACGTAAATTTCTGAAAGCAGTCAGTAATATTCAGTTCAGCTAGCAACGCAACTGAGCGTCCCTGCAGTTCGAACTAAAAGAATATATTTCTAAGGCTAATGTTCAACATGAGAACAATGTGAGGTCCCTTACTGTTATCCAGCTGGACTTCACGTAAGCCATTTATACCTGACTACCCTTTTTTCCTCGACCTAACCTGCGCTTCGTATTGGCACTTTTTTGCTACAATTCTTGTAGTTGTTTCCAATGTAACTTAAACACTGTGTTATTATCTACTCGCTTCTGCAGGCTTTTGGGAAATGATTTCAATGCCTATCCAAAAAGTGCGCGACGGTTTTGCTTCAATCGAGAGGCTAAAGGAGAACGGCTGGAAGGAGAATGAAGATACGAAGCCGCAAGTCAAGAAGACGATATCCACGGTAGGGCCAAAGTGTCAGGGATTCCGGAAGAAGCCTTTGGCCTCAAAGAACGACAACAATAATACCCCTAGCCAGGCTGATATTGACCGACGCGAGAAGGCTGCTCGTCAGAAGGAAGAGGCCCGCCAACGATTTCTGGTAAACGGTTTCCTTTCTGCGAGAAAATCGTTGCGTGGTTAATAATATCTGTACCCAGCGTCTGGTAATGTGAAACAACTGACTTATTAATCATGATCCAAGCAAAAATAGGATCGTTTTTTTCGAAATTCCATTTTTATATTTTTGAAATATATTTTTTAGAAAATGCCATAGCTTAATGGGCAGTACGAAAAAGATAGCAACATTTTATGTGCATCAACGTGTACAGTTCAATCAATGCTTTAGCAACATAGCTGTGTTGAAGAGAAATCAAACATCTCTGTATTTCACTGCGAACGGTGCTATAACTGATATTTGTCCTGGTTTTCTGCTCATCCTGTTGCAGGAATACAAGAAAGAAAAAGCGGCCGCCCGTGATAAGATATCCTCGCAAAATGACGACGACGACACGGATGTTGTACGGTCCGAGTAGGTCAGCGTGTTAAAAAAGAACTTGTATAAAACTTATTGGGGCAGCTGTTCTAACTAATAAAATTGTTAGTTGGATCTAATTCATAACAAAGTAATTAAAAGTGCGGGTCGTACGTGATGCGATACGATACACTTGAAGATATGGAGCCTTTTCATACCGAAACGTCTTTCATATATATAACATTCGGACACGTGTTCGTTTCTCCATTTTAATATAATCGGGCCCTATTCAAATAAAAAAGGACATTTTTTTAGAAGATAAAACATGTGTAAGAGTCTGCTTCATATGATACACTAGATGGCGAGAGGTGATAGCGACGGAACAAGAATTATTCAGAAAAAAACGTCGATCAAATCCAGTAGGCATCATTTCAATTGATTGAAGGTATTCGATTTAATACGGCGTGCCTGATTTATTTGAAAATAAACTTTCCCATCGAGAAGTGTTAAAATCAAACGCAGCTCGGAAGCATGTGAACCTTATCTATATACTACATATTTTACCAGCATATTTTTTTTTGTACGTACGGTATGAGTGCTAACAACTAGCTGTTATTGTCCTTTGGTTGATGTGTCTATTTTAGATGACTGATGCAGTCGACGGTGTAACGATGACCGCACGTAAATTCATCATATATCCCCATAGAGCGAAGCCTACATAGTACATATGAGCAATACCTCGGATATATGGCAATAATTTATATCGTGCTCTCTGAATTGAAAAATTTCTCAGAATATATACTGTGATGTGATATTAGCCGGCAGACCCCGTGGGATAAAGCTGCCATTTTGCCGAAAATTTACATATATTATGATCCAAATCACTTTTCATAAAATATAATAGCGATAATCTCTGTCGAACGTTAGCGCGGCGATCAAAAACGTAGTTCATAATAAACTTACGATTTTGATCTCTACGCTGGACAACCTCAGCGAAACGAAGTCAACGGGAAGCAATGCTAGATCAATTAAGTATCCTGAAGGAAAACAGCAAGACGAGCAGAAAAATCATCGGTAACCAGTTCTTGTTAGTGAAAAGGATGCTCATTATTATACATATATAATTATTTATAACTAATATATTAGTTGTAAATAGTTATATACTATCTGTATATATATATATATATATATATATATATACGGATAATGATATCACTGTAGTAACTTCGATGAGATATTTAGAGGTTACAACGATGTAGGAATTACTGCTGAGATCAATATGAGATTATACTAGACGTATGTCAACACTCGTCGGTTACTAATTGAAGACTATTATTGGAAATACCTTACCATGTACTTCTTCGTGCTTGTCCTCCTTAAGTAAAATGGTTCACAGAGCACCCCATAATAAAGTCCCGTTCTTGCATTTCCAGAAAAACAAAAGGGTTTTGCCCACTCCTGTGGCTAGCTTGCAATAAATTGTGTTTTTTGCTTAACAGTTTTTATTTTTCTCTGGTCTTTGGGGCAGAAACAATCTTTCTTCTTCGATACAACAGCGTCTTAAATGCAGTGTGTTTACAAGTAGCACTTTCAAATAAATAACTGAGGTCTATGGAAGAAGTCATCACTTTAATTTGACCTCGAAGCAGGATAATGCTGGGTTTATTCCATCGCTGAATGATAGCTAAAAATAAAAAGTGGAGTTTTGTGCCGGTACAGCCTTTCTAACAAGGATTTGAGCAAAATCAGACCTTTTCGTTCTAATGCTTCAATCACAATTCGTTGAAGGTAAAATCAGCTCTAAGTAACCAATTCCGTATTGTTCCATAGGACATCCTCTGATACACGGTACTTTGCTAGTTTAAACATTTTCCTACATATTCGAATTTGAAGCATTTGCTAAAAATACTCGCTTGTTTACGATAAAGTGAGTGAAATTGGTATTTCTTGATCGTAGGGCTCGACGTTATCAGTTGATCTGTTGATAACCAGATCTAATGAATGAAATAAAAAATTCAAGATAATTATTAATTATACAGTGAGATAATAAACAGGCACCCGTCGTCACCGTTACACCAGACGTGCTGAGCGTAGATTTTATACTTTTTCAACAATTATTTTAAAGATATGACATTAGAACATGCGACATCTTTATCAGTCTAAGACTGGTACAGTTTTTAGGCCGAATTTGAATTTGGAAACGGAAATAAACTTTTAAATAAAAAAAAAACTTTTGCAAATAAGTTTTTAAAAAAAATTGGTTATTTTTTTTCAGCGGGAAATCCTTTGGAGCGATTGTTTCAACAGTTTAAGACGGCTTAAATACGGTATTCGACCTTAGCGCGGCAAAGTATATCACATAATAGTCTCAAGACAGATCGCATCTTTGCGGAACAAATATCTTCAACTAGTAGGATTTTTAATATGGAATCGTCAATTATCGAGCCACTTAAAAGACATTCTTGAGGCAATCTTTGCTAAATTAGAAGGCGCATGAAACGGACTGCATCCTTCAAATCGAAAATGCCGTTCTTCAACTTCAGCTACCATCAGGCAATTTTTTAAGCTGAATAATCGCACAAGACGCACGCGCCCTCAATTGTCTAAGCAGCCTTTGACCTTCACGAAGTGCAAATTATCGATTGCCACGATTGGATCTTGTTTCCTACTGAAGCATTCATCTTCGCAGTTTGAAATCTCTATCATGGCAGACGGCGACACAACATACAAAAGAAAAGACAGCGACTGACTTTAAATAACTGTATTTGTATAGTTTATATAAAACAGCCTTGAAAATGTTAACTAACAAGTTTAATATTTTTAGTTCCTTTAACAACGAAAATGTTTACTATGAAGGTTAAAAGGTTAAATGAGCTAGTCATTTTTGCAAGTAATTTATTGTTATATAATTTTTAATTAATAAGAATTTAACACAACACATGGTCACCAGCGGATTAAAAAACAGTAAGTACTTCTTCTGGGAAAAGGAAAATTCTTTGGCCATTTTGTATTGGTAACGCTCCTTCCCTTCCTTATGCGATATCGGTCTTGACGTCTTTCAAATCAAACAAAGATATTTTTAATATTATAAACCATCTAGTTAAACTAATTATACTTACAAAATCTATGATCATTGCTGCACAAGAAGCACGAACGCCTGCAAACATACGTAAAAGTCGAGAGACCCTTAAAACGTAATTATATGATGCCACTTGTTGAGTACTTCAAATGCTAGACTGCCAATCCGCAGACATTTACTACAAAAATGCAGTACCTGAAAAATGACAATCAATGTGTAATTCGTTTTTTTAGAGCTATAATTCTACGTAGACGGTAGGCCTAACTAACAAGTTTTCGTTGCGACTAATAACCGACAATAGGCCAAAGAAGTTCCGTCTTTAATAACAAGCATCTGACAGGTCTGCGGCGGGTAGATGATCTGACTATTATTATATTATTATTATAAAACTAATTTATGCCATATAATTATAAAGTGAGTAATAATAACTGCGTGTTTATACTGTATCAAATGCGTTGAAGAACATCTTTTCATAAGAACGGGCCAACAGACCCGTTTTGAAATTGAAGATAATGATTGACAATGCTATAGCCTGTTTACTGCACTTAATTCAAAAGTTATCTAAAGCCAAGAGCCAATAGCGAATTACGGACGAGAGTTGCATAGTAATGATAAAGGATTTTTTGCGGATGTCGTCTACAGCTGGATAAAAACGTTCCTTTTCTCTAAATTTTAAAAACATCTATTGTTATTGTTATGAGATGGTCTACGGCTAACCGGATAGACATGCTACCCGAGATATGGCTAACCTACATATCTATGCGTTATTATATTACGTTTGCGTTTCTGGCATGCGTATAGGTCTAGCTGGTTTACAATACGGCGTCGGAACCACCCATTCAGTGGATCTTTGGGTTTATCAAATTTTGATGACGATGGAAGCTCTTCTTATACAATAATGATGTTGGATTTGAGACCACCTTATTCACTGGATCTTGATACGAGGAAGACATTGAAATGACAGCACCCAGACTCCGACCTGGCTAGGACTTCAATCCCCAGGGACGTGAGAAACCTTTTTCGTATATATGTCTTGTATGTGTGTGAGAGACAGAGGGAGAGGGAGAGCGAGAGAAAGAGAGTAGGGGTTTCTCACGTCCTCATATCGCTGACAGCAGCCTCAACTTGATCCTAGCGAGGGGACCTGTTATGCTAACTGGCGTTGTCACCTGGGTAGTCTACAGATATCTGTGTCTCTTCTACGCCAAAAACATGGAAATAAATGTTGCATTACTAAGCACCAATAGTCTACTTACTTTGTCCCTGTCACTTTTGCACGAATGGATATTGTATCACATTTCGGCATATTTCAGGCGGAGGGTCAATCTGATGATTCGCGATCGGGACGCTACTCCGCTGCTGTCGTATCGCTTAGAGCATCTTGTTTGATCCCGTTAGTTCCCCTTCCGTTTCTCGAAGAAAGAGACTCTCAGCAATTTGGCGACAAACCTCTTGCAAAAAGAAAAAGCTGTGGTGGACTAGAATACACTCTTTATGCATTGGTCGGTTACAGAGTCTTCTCTGGATTTAATTTGCTTACTCGTTGTATCCGTATTTGTATGCGATCTCCATAATCCATGTCCTTATCAATAGGTAAAGCGACGGTGAAATAAGTGTGTCAATGCTATGCCGATCCCATTTGCACTAAAAACCCATATGGTCTAAAAGCACCCTTTTTGAAGGGTTTACTTGTTTTTCTTTTGTTAAAAATCTTTCCGGACACAAACGATTAAGCATAGATAGTCTGTGTCTAAGCAGGCAGGTCACTTTTACATGCGTGTCTCAGAAAACGTGCCAGCTGAGAAAAATAGTTTTTATTATTAAGACCGTCATGTTAATGAGTCATGGCTTTTTCCGATGTTTTTTTTCTAATTGTTTTACTGTGTCATTTTTAACTTATTTTTGCTGACGATCCGCCTTCTGCTTAATCGATTATTTCGACACAAATCAAAGGTGAGTGGTATACCGTGGTAACAACGTAATGTTTTAGCGATTCGTACTATACTAACATGATGCTCAGAGCCAGCTAAGGTCAGCCGATGGACGATAATGGAACTACGAATAGGGATTTTGTTTAGTTAGACAATAGAATTTACAAATTGTCCAGATATTTAGTCTAGGTTAGTATGTATGTATGCTTATCCTACTCGGCGACGAATCGCCCTAGCTCCATTGAAAGAACAAAAGAAAAGCGATGGACGCCATGATTAGCAGACGCGCATCGTACCCCGTAGCTTTGCTTGTGGTGTATAGCTCTTGGTCCAGCCAGGACACTGTCTTTGTTGGTGATGCTTTCTCACTTAAGCAGCTGCCTTCCACCGACGGACGTCATTCGCGCCAACTTGTCTGGCTGCCTTGCGACCGCCAATCGATTCCACTCACGTGCAACGACACTTAATATCCGCACTTACGATAAGAAGGCGGGAGGGAAAAGACAGACCCCCACGCGCGAACGTGCGAGTCTAACCTCTCTCAGACGCCTCCTCACATGTACGTCTAGAACCGACAAGCGTTGTGCTGTCGTAGCCACCATAACAGTACACATGACCAAACTGGCCCCACAAGAGGCAGTACTAAGGAAGACTAACACAGCCATTACAATGGCGACAATCGTAAGAAGAGGAATAGAAGGAAGACCCCGTAGCTGCCTTGTCGTAGAGCGCTATTTCTTTAACCCCCTCGCCTTCCCCTCATTTCCTCTCGCTCTTCCTGAGGGTTAGATCGGTTAGAGACGGCTATAGAAATACCTAAGTCAGCCACCTATACATTCACACAGGCAAGGAGACGGACATACTTAGACGCGTATGGCCCGTTAGAAAGATATATCATCGGAGAATAGCCCATATCGGCAGCTCAGTCGACGACAAGGTTGAGGAATGACGCGAAATGTTTGCAGGATACGCGAGGTATTGTTATTCAGCAATGGTTCATATCACGGATGATACGGCGGCCAGCAGAGGATATTTGCCTCCTTGCCTCGTACGCCTACGTGGAGAAACTATGAAAGAAAAGTTACCGCAATATATGCTACGGTACATTTGGAAATCACATGCAACTTGCCCCTAGCCTGCGCGGCCTTCCTCCGGTCTATCATGATGCCAATTTGGCACTGGCTTACTGCTTACATCAAAGGCCTGAGAAGACCTGCAGATGTTGCTAACTTCAGTATCTATCTTCTAGACTACTTTGACACCGTACTTGACGTTCGTATAAACCACGAATTAAGCCGCTTTGACGCTGAACGTATTTTCTATCTTGCAGCTGATATTTATAAACACGAGTCGACGATATTCATCAAACTTCACAATTATTTTTTATATATAAAAATTACGAAAGGTTATTCGACAAGAATTAGCTAGAGGGCTATCAGTAAGCATTGTCGTCGTAGGGGCCGTAAGTAAACCACTTCTTTGATTTTGTTGTGTCTAGCGTAAAAAAGAAGCCACGTTTGTCATTAAAATTTATGTCATCATTATAACTGTCGTTGAATCATGCACTTGAACACATAGCTGTCTGATATCATAAGCAGAATCTGCATACCGTATCTTTTAATGTAATGGTACATATCTAACGGACCTCTGACCACCGTGTTTCTTGCATCTGAGTGCTCGATTCTTGGGTCTCAACTAGGAGGGGAAAGTATTGCAGACCTTTTTTTGTGATAACTCGAACTATTCAATGGCGCAGAGACGATCGAAGATTAGCATACAAGAATATGAGACACGCATAGAGATTTTCCAGGCACCGATGGATCGGCTTAGAAGAGTTTACCTACGATCTTAGCACTTTCTCTCATTTGAATTGCACCACATCCGAGAGAACCACTTCAAGTCTAAAGCAAGCTCGCACGAACTGACTGGATGGCACCCTGCCCGGTTTGGTCATAGATCGGTTCTACGTTAAGTTGCTAGACACTACAGTCAGCCATTGCACTCTGTTTTCTTGCCTCTATGCTGCCACTGGTGAGAGTTAGGACCAAATAAGTCTGAATCCCTTCGGCTATTAACTGGACATGTAAAGCAGACGAGCGTGAACGATCTCTATAGAAGCTGAAAACGAAGGCTCTGGGAGAGAGGTTAACACTAGAACCGAACGCCGTCGCTGATCGAAACGACTGCTGCATAGTCTCGCCGGGTTGCCTCTTAGATAGCGCGGGCCGGGTCCGTATGATAGTCCTCAGCAGAGGCGGCAGATTTTTGCTAGTGCCTACCAGCGCCCTGCGATCACTGCAGCCGCTAGCAGCTGCAGTAACAGCTAAGCAGTGGTAGCAACAGTGACAGCCACTAGCGAACAACAAACAAACACAAGGGACGCCGGCAAAGACGAGCAGGGTAAGCGGCAGCGGCCCGCGATCGCCGACAAATAAATAACTCACATCGTTAACATTTATACAAATATAAAACGATTTTATGGCCTTCCCCGCCCCGTCCAACTCGGTCAGTCCGGCGGCTCCTGTCGGTACGTTCCCTCTCTCCGATCGGTCTGTGCTCTGCTGTCCCCTTCCCCCTTTACGGTTTGGCTTACCTCGGATACCCCATCGTAGGAAAAACGCTAGACTTCCACGGTCAGCTCTTTTGGAGGAACACCCTTGCCCACTTTGCTAGACGAGCGCTGGCTTTGTAATACATATACAGATGGGTAGTATACACACGCAAGAATAAAAGAACAGAACGAGTAAGAAGCAACGAGTGTGGATTTTACTGTGGCTGCATCCGTAGCGAATGCAATTATGCATAACTGCTATAGGGTGTACCGTTATCATCGTTGGAAAACGCGGAAAAATTTTAAAACTCGGTCATAGCCATGTATCTAGAGCGTGTGTTCACTCATGGCGCATCCACCGTGTTTACCTGCCGACGCAATACCTAAGACAGTTAAGGATAGTGATTTAAGAACTAGGTAAATAATATACAATTGTTGCCTCGATGTAAGGATATTTTCGAACATTGTTGGAAATGTAGCAGCTACTCCATTGAATAGCTAATTTGCCTTCGTCATTGCAATGGCCGGAAGTTGTTATGGCGCAAAAGTCAAAAAAATATATGGTAAAAAGGATATTAAACTGCAGTCAGCCGCATCAGTACTGCCAAATATGTCATTGAACACAATTCGACCTCTCGTGTAGGCAGGTTTATACATAAAGCCACTTTATACATAAAGTGGTTCCACTCGTGGACTATGCCAGTATTGAAGACTAATAAGATGTCTGCTGAAATTATTGCGTTATTCCCTTCGCACGATATTCTTCTTTTCGTACACTCCATTATTACGGTTCGATTTGAATTGTCCAGTTATTGGATGTACAATATTTCCACTCTGGACACCAAAGTTCCTACAGACCCCGTACTCTTGCTTCTGCGCAAACGAACAGGTGGCAGTATTTTGGCTCAGCTCATAGAAACACAGACCCCAGACTAACTGCCCCAGGCAAATGATCGAAAGGGTTAGCTAACATTGAAGTCGGCTCTCATTTTATTAATGTTATATGGTCGCATCGGCAGGGAAAAGGGACTAAAGAGGGCAGAACTGTGTGGTGTGCCGTCATTTGTTGTCTCTAGACGCCCAGGCCCGGGCACACCCACATTCTCACACAGTTTGCTAACAGAGTCGCTCATCTCCGATTAATTTTGCCCTTCGAAAAATTGTCGTACATGAGAAATTGCCAGCTTTGTTTGTGCCTTTCCCATAGGACACAGATGGATCAAGTAGACAAAATTTGTCAACTATGTTTAACTGGAGTTGTGCCGCTTTGGACGAGATGTGGGGTCTCTGTGACGAGGAAACTAAGGGCAATTGACGGAATCTCAAAGTAACTGCAAATAAGCTATGTTAACGCGAAAAAGAAACTACAGGACAAATAACGGTGCTTGAATAGGACATGTTTGCTAGAGAGAAGTCACTACGTCTTAGTGTCTTATTGAAACAAACACATGTATGACATGGACGACTATCAGCGGTGATTAAAGGCAATGGGTAGTTCATAGGCGGTTGTCTACGTACGAGGAGCTTTGCTTTCGCAGCGAAATCGTAAAAAATTATATCGACCATTTGCAGAGGTTACTAATTTTTGAAGCATCGCCGCTTAGGTAAGGCAATTTCAACGGAATACTGAGTTAACTGATTGACTGATGTTTGCTTAAGCTTTGCTTAAGGACGCAAATGTAGGCCTTCGAGCAAAGAAAAATCAGTTTTCGTTCGTGTGGTTCAGGTAGTCCACCCAGATACTGTACAGGCACTTCAGCCCGAAGTAGCTGACAGCCGCCATTCGAGACGCTGTTTGCTTGCGTTTAATATCAGTTGACTAAGCTGTACATTGGGTTCAGTGCTACAACCCACGACCGGCGTATTGAACAGTGAAAACTACGGAAAATTACGCTTAACTTTATATTTGCTACAATTTTGGTAACGTTTGCACTTTTTCTGTGAAGGTGAAGGAGAACTAACCCGATTACTCTGAGAGCTTTTTTAACAGTCGATCCGGTTTAGAATCTCAAACTTTAATGGGTTACTGTCTATTTGGCAAAGCATGTTTTCATCAGTGCAAACATTTTTTTCCTACTTTGTGGTGGTTTGAGATACGGTTTGTTCTCCTTGGAGAAAACTCGTTCTTGTTTAGTTCTTGTAGTTGCTTCCTGCGGCTGAAATCCTTACCAGATAAAGACAGACTACATCGATTTCACCGTGGCGAAGTACCAGCAAAGCGCTTGGGTCAATTTCTTACACTTGACACAAATCACGGCGGTCCTGTTTTCCATATGAGTGCATCGATATTCGGCGCTATTGATGGATAGAACCACAACGAGGCCTAGTGCGGGTCGGTAACTATAATCACACCATAAGGTACCTCTCTCATTGGTATATTTGTTCTCGAGGTGAAATTCTGCTTTCAAACATGTGTTACAATTGTCCACTGCCCTTGCGGTCGTGAACGGAAATCGCGATAGACCATTACGTGATCATTTTGACGTAATCATTCTTCTTGCAAGGTAAAACGGAAACATACATTGTCCTTGCGATAACAGATTACCATCTGAGAGAGAGAGAGAAAACCACAAAGCGAGGTATGCTATTCGCAAGCTGTACAACGTACTAGAACATGTAATTCTTTAACCTCATGGATACGTTTTTGACATTATATAGAGGAGAAGAGTTTTCTATTAAGTACCGTGAGGCTTTTCTAGTCATAGAAGCTTTCGCGCCTTCATTATTTACTGACAGGTATTAAGTCTTAAGAGTAATAACTTTTTAATAATCCTGTTGTTTTCAAAGAGTTCATCTTCCGACATCTGCACCATAACGATATACAATGTACATCCTGTCATTTGCGGCAAAGGACAATAAATCTAGAGTCGTCGCTATAGAGGAGTCTGCAAAGCAACCACGCAAGATCTCAAAGCTCGAACTCCCAGAGATACTCACAATACACAAAGCTAGAGCGCTTATTTCCGTGTAGAGATGACGGTCGCAACACTGCAGTATTCCTTCAAGCCTATTCCTTTTCCTTTTTGAAGGAAGAATCCTTACGAGCACAGCTCTAATTTTACCGCTTGTCTGAATTAGAAGGCGTTTCAAGGGCAGCCTGCGATTGGTCTTCGGGCCTAATGCTACAACCATCTTCTGCTGGCTTCCCTGGTATTGTTACGACCGACGTCTCACCTAAAGGTGATCCATAATCTTTAGCGGTTTCATGTTTTGAGGATGATTTTTCATCTCCGTCCGATTTCTCTTTACTAGGTCCTTTTTTAGTGTCCTCGACCTTAAGTTTTGCTCCGTAAACACCTCGTACCTCATCAGAACCGGAGGACCCTTTTTTCTGCGCTTTTTCGGCTTCCTTTTTTCCTTTCCGACGCCCATTGATATTGTAAGGAACTGGTGTAGGGGAACCAGCCCAAGTGGCCCTTTGGACTATATCATCTAGATCCGATGGTGTATCAAGTATTTTTTTCTTCTCTGCCTTATTAGGCGGTGTTTCGGAACCTGAACGAGCTCGACGTTCCATTTGTTCACCCTTGCTACCCCTCGCTGGCCGGACGTCACTTAACTGAAGCTTAATGGGACCTTCATGTTTAACTTCTGGAAACGATTGCTTCATAATATCGGATCCTTCTTCTTGGGCATTTTCTTTAAGAGATACTCTTTCCACCTTTTTTACAGACGATGATCCCCGAAAAACTTCTTTAGAACGCTGCATTTTTTCTCTTTGTGTAGATCTTTTTTGGTCTTCCTCATTAAGTTGACTTCTTCCTCCTTCAGGTCTTGCAAGCTTTTTTTCTGCAGGTTCAGATCTGTTTTCTCGAGGGCCTTTACTTCTGGTGTCACTTCGTTGTGCATTTGATACCATATTATCTGTTGACTGTCGCACAAAAAAACCCTTCGTCACTTTCCTTCGGATTTGGCCTCGGGTAAGCGCCTTACGCGGCTTGGAGAATCGTCGTGAAAGCGGCGCAACGGAGCCCCTTTTCATGCCTTTCGTTTCCTTTTTTCTAGAGTCCTGAGACTTTCTTCTGCGTTTTGGCTCGACGGAAGGGAGTGTAGCCCCTCTAGATGCTTTCGTTTTTTCTCCAGAAGATTTTTGACGAGTTGGTTTGCTTTTTTCATCAGTTTCCTCTTTAGAAATATCAACTTTACGGGAAACTACAGAACTTTCACTAGGCAGTATAACAGAACTTTTCTGTTTTTGCTCTTCACTTACTGGTGGTTTCTGCTTCGTAGTTACGGTGTCACGAACTGCCTTTCGTTTAGTGTCATCTACAGGAGTCACAATGGCTGTTGGACTTTCTATCTGCGGTTTATCGGTAACGGGCGGTTTTTGTTTTTGATCTACCTCCTTACTGCCACTCTCTGATTCACTTTCTTCCGGGCCTGCCATTTCTTTATCAGCCAGTTTCACCTTTACCTTACGAGGTTCTTCAGACGACACTTTTTTCTTTTTTTCCTCTTGCGGCGCCTTTTTACTTTCCTCTGGCGGCGCCTTCTTTTTGTCCTCACCGCTCGCACTTTTTTCCTCCTCTGGCAACTCATGTTCCGACCCTTGCCTTAAAATAAATCCCTTTGTGACCTTCTTCCGGATCTCTTCTGGCATTAGCTTCTTCTTTCGTCTGGAATCGTCCTCAGCAATGTCAACTTTAGGCTTAGGGATGTCCTTGACGTCCTTAGCTGGAACTACTTCTTTATGCTTGGTTTCGCCAGCCACAACCGGAGTGCTCGGCGCAGCAATGTTAGATTTCATCTCAGCCATATCTCTAGAGATTTTATCCAATCTTGGGGTTTTTGTAGCTTTCAACTCGCCGACACTCTTTCCTCTCCTCTCTCCGCAGCGGGCATCTGAGCAGCCACCGACCTCGCATATGTGATGTCGAAAGTTACGATCGTCCATCCGATATTTTTCATCAACGATATACTCTTCCTCTTCGTCATCAACAACTTCTTCCTCAGGCCATTTAAGTTTCTTGTCGTCACGGTAGATCAGATTGCGGTGTGCAAGCACTACAATGTCGTCATCATCGGAGATGCGCGTTCGGTCATCCTCGAACCGGTGGTGCACTGATGGGGTTGCTGCGAAGGTCGAGGTCGTCTCCTCGGACGCTGTCTCCACCGAACTTTGTATGTTTGCAACATCGGACGCTGTTCGATTGTTATGGGCAATATCCGGAGGCATTCCTTTCACCTGTAGGGCGCGCTATCGATAGTATAGCTTACCTCAGGAAAGGTTGATGCACATGTTTGTAGCCGCACTCACTATCACACAATTTTCGTTGTCAATATTGACTTATCTGCTGCTCCACCGGCCTCATAGAGCAGCCTTGCCTCATTATTGCCAGCAACCGACATTGATATCGTTCTGCCAAGAACGAAGCAATATCTCTGTGTGGACAAAGCAACCCGCTACAGAAAACTTCCATTAAACAATTTTCATTTACAGCTTTAGCTGCGTATTGTCTTACTGAAAATATTAAGATGCTTCGATTGTGTGTTGAAATAAGCTTGCGTGTTTACGGCTTTAACCTCGACAGGGGCTCTACGGTCGTTTAAGCGTCGGAAAAATGAATCTCTTTAGAGAAATCCTGCCCGGTACAGCGGTTTGTCAGTCTAATGACATTATTATGTGAGACCGAGACTCTAGTTTTAGCCCACAAACTGCTGATGAAATAAAAAAAAAACTAAAGCAGATATCCTATTGAATTAATTTGACGCAATGGCTTTCTCTTTCCCGCTAAAGCTTACACCGTAAACAAGCCATACACATTTATAAATTGGACACTAAAAACGACAAACAGCAGATTTTGCCATAGTATCCTGCCATCCTTCTTCTTAACAATCCTTTGTTATTTTGCATTAACAGGTTTAAAAAGGTTTTCATTAATTCAACACACTGACAACACATTAACTAACGGCAACTGCAATCAAGCTTCTCCTAGAGATATCTCCATGATTGATCATAACACAGCAGACCACAAGCATAGACGAGCGAGCAATGCATACAGAGCCTACAAAGAATCGAATCGTTTGAATTTTTGCTATTGACGTTTCAGTTAGCGCTATCTGAGCCGTCAGAGACACGACGCAAAGCTGTCAGGTCCCATACGATATTTCTATGTACATTGCTATAACGTACCTGCCATAGAGGTTTGTTTGTTTGCTTATCATACCTCGATTAACGTCGACTGCTCCGTCGGTCGTTCGCAAGCTTTTGTAGTATCTCATTTGTTAATGGACCGAATAAGCAGTGAACACGAAGGAACTAGAAAGGGCGCATGAGTTCACTAGTTGTCAGCGATCGGTAAGCTGGAACTGAATACCTGAACATTACCAAGTGACAAGCGGTAATAGCTAGACAAACAGTCAATGTGTGTTGAAGTCTAGGAACGAACGAGGCGCTCGAGTAACGACAGGACCAGATGTTCACGCATCGCCTAACTGGAACTAAAATATTATTGCGTTCTATATGTTAAAGTGATTTTGGTTATCCCGTAGCGACTCGTTTTGTATGGCTTAAGGATGGGATACCCTACTCTGTTCAGTTATTGATAGCTAGTTAAATATGCGGAAAAATTAGGTTTGTCTATCGTCATTGTACCACGTTATGGTTCTGTCGAAATTGCCTTAGGCGTCCGGCACCCGATACGAATCTGTATACATTTGACTTCAAATCTTGGAAGGAGAGAACCTACACAAAATACGGCCTTCTACCTGTGGCCTCGTCTGCAGTTTGATGACATCACGTCCAGCACTCGAATCTACATTTCTTGGTGGAACGCAGATGTGGGATGCTTACTTTAATTGTATCCAGTTTACCTGAAAATTAATATTTCCAAGGTAACTAGATACAATTGGCTTAAAATACATCGTTTTTATAGTATAGTATTATCTGGCCGCTTGATTTTTATCGCACGTCCTACCTGTATTCCAAATGGGTCATTGTTTTGTCCATTGCAAGGTATCGGTGCGAAGTTCAGTACGGAAAATTAAACGAAGTAAATAAAAAAAAAAGGTTGCTTCGAAACCTAGTTTAGACTAATATGCACATGGTATAACCAGGACCGATCTTCAATAACCAGTTAGGTTGGATCCAATAGCTCGTGCAGGTTCGGGGTGCTCACTGAATATCAACAGGAACACAAGCATATGCTTGCACAGCTGGCTTTTTCGTAACTACCAGCCATATTTCCTTAACAGCCCGTTCTCCCTGTCGAAGAGCATGGAGCATAAACCTGGCAACATGTCGTCCAACATGTCCGTGTATATAGATGGATATGCAAATATAACCTGCTAGACCGATCTATTCGTAGAGCGAAACGCAAAACCTTTATAGGGCCGTAAAGGGTCGAGGAGTCCTATAGGGTGGAAAATGACTGAATGCAGCCTGGACAGAGGCCAATCGGGAACAAGCAGACTTGACTGAAATATCGATCCTTTGTGTTGCCCCTAAGTGAATCAAAATGAAGGCACTATTATTAAGCGGAAGCGTACGTTTCAGAAGCACCGAGATAAATTCTAAGGCCAGCAGAGTTAACCGTTATTGTTATTCAGGCGTTTTCTCTAAAACACTCACAGCGCAAAGGGACCGAACCGTTGCTTTGCTTAAAGCTGTCTTCTTTAAATTTTCATATCTTGGCACAAGATAATAATGGCTATAGAAAGCTATTTTTAGGTGGTACATAGAAATATGGGATGTGTATAATATATAATAAAAATAAACTGAGGGAATTTTCTAGTGTTAAAGAGGTTCCTTATTACGTTTCGAGTGTGACGACAGCAGGTGTACGCTGCACATCCGTTCGCGTGAAAATCTGTGATTCTTCTTATCATCTACACGTAAATTGCTTGTACTTTGGGGTACAGTTTATCGTATACGCACGGAGAGCACTTTCTCACGTAACGTTTTTGACAAGACACAATATAACTGATAACGGTAGTAGCTGTTGTGACCAGATAACTAGAAGGGGTTTCGAACCGCGATTGTTAACGATTTATAGCTATTTCGTTTGAATGCTATTATATTATGTGTCATCTAGAATCGGTGCTTCGAGACCAATGACGATTTTGCAGGCAAGTAATAGGCCATCCTAGACACGGATCTGTCTACACGTATAACTACACGACCGGTGTGAAATCTAAAACGTCTATTTATTATAAAATTTATTTGGTAATGAGCGGTGCTGGAGAGCAGAGCTACTGTCTACTATACGAATTTGGCAGAATTTTAAAAGTCGTATATCACCAATATAATGAACGGCTCGTTCCTTTTTAGATCAAAGAAATGCAGCAGACTTATCCTGTGGGCGAGTTGTCTCGTCCGCATTGAAAACACTTCCGCGCGTTCGAATCGGGCTGCTGACTCTAGGGCATTTCTAAAACACCTCTCTCTGTCTCAACTTGCTTTCTTTGCATTGCAAAGTTTCTAAGTTAGTTCGTTCGTAAGTGCACTGAGACGGTGACTGGGTATGCACCAACAGAGAGAAGCCATGGCCTCAAGTTCCTAAAGTTTAAGAGAAATCCATCCTTGTCTTCTAACACTGCCTGAGCTATTACTTTCTGCTATTTGGCCGATCTTATATGCCTGCGTGACTAATGTGCCACTCTGACCACTGACCAATGGTCACTTGCCGACGGGTTTAAGTTTCGTTCCAGTGAAGTTGAACAATGAGAACCAGGGCAGAGAGTGATGAATATTTATGAAGCTCATTTGGGTGATGCCCACGTTATTTCTTTTTCCCATTCATCATCATCATTAGTACGATTATTATTAGTATGCGTAAGCCAAGCTAACGATACCTTGCGGTTACCTAAAACGACAGGAGCTAACATCGAGGAAGCGATAGTATGTTGAGTTGTATTACCCAAACGGTTTGCTTTCTTCGTTGCCTGGCAGATGAAACTTCTGCCCCCAGTTCGACTATGTCCACTTGTGTAGTGGGGTATAACCTTCTAAAAATTTTACAATAGAATATAATTAGATTTAATCTTTATAGTAGACTTTGAGCCCAACGACCGGAAGTGTGTAGCTCAATCGCGCGTTCCAAATTTAGTTGACGCTGATGAACGATACTGTTCACGGAAACTACTACCTGTCTAATACAGGTGCCTATGTGGTTGATTAAGAAAGAAGCAATCCAGACATTGTAGTGTGGCGTAGTGCAAATAAAAGGTATGTTCAGTTAATTACGCCATAATATATACATAATGTTATCTGGTTGGCAAAAAAGACACCTCCTATTCAACTGTGCTATTTGAAAGATACAATCTGTTAATGAAACGCGTTCGTCAACATCCTAGTAATTGCCCTTCGAATATTCTTTGCTCTTCTGCAGGTTCAATCATTCAGAAAGGGTAACAGCGTTTTAGGTTTCAATGAGCTTCATAATGAACCACAAATTGGACCCGTCACCTTCAATTTGCATAATTCACGCAAATCCGAACTTCGTCACTTCACGCCAAACAGAAGTCCACAGATATCATCGATGTCTAAGGCGAAGCTGTTTCGCTATTGTATTTAACAGAGAAACTCGTGGAATGCGACCGCCGTGACGCTCCATTGGGAAACTCGAGTGGGCTGAGTGGGTTTACTAAGATCAGCGCAGTCACTAGCTTAACGGACTGCTACCAAATACAAACCCGGCCACCACCGCTGGTCGATCAGTTGAGCTTCTTCGTGAGACCGTTGAAGTACTTCTTGAGGACAGATGTGCTGCCATTAAGGCATTAACGGGGTTACGAACTGCGGTATTCGAGCCTAATACGGCTATAGGCAAGTGAGCTAATCGCCGGCTAAGGAAATTGACCATGAGCCCACTATGGCAACTAAATCGAACAGAAATACTTTTCACTGCCTGCCACGACAGTCGTGTAAGCGTCTAAATTGCTCCTAGAGCTTTCGCTGTTTTAGCCCTCTGGCGGCCGACCTTTAGCTAGCGTTGACTTTGATAGAAAAGTTGACGATTCCTACTGCTTGTTTCAGTAATTTTCACTCATCGGAACATGTACATTTCGATCAGTATGACCCCATTTTCTTTGTATGCTATGCACAATGTCAGATTTAGTTTTTTCAAGAGAATTTTTAAAAATTCTTTTCAGTAAGAGTACAACAATTGATACAATAAAAAATGTACGCAGGACAAAAGGGTTGCGTAACACTAGGAAAAAGCTGCTCCCTAATGCACTGGACTAACGGAGGACGTGTCCAGTGCATGAGACACTCTTCGTCAAGCGCCTCTTTATCCGACGACGCAAGTACCACATAGCAAGTGCCGCTCAGTCAAAAGACGTCACGTATTTCAGCGTTCAAATCGGGGCGCGCATTAAGCACGCGCTCGACCTATACCAAGATGGCCTTTGAATACGGTCGACTGCTCCCTCCAGGGGCGACTCGTGAAGTCTCTCTGAGACGAGTAGAAAGATAGTTCAAATTTGGTCTGTTCCTAGCACAGCGTCATATAGATACTTTGGGTCAATCAAAAGGTGACGTCATAGTGGATATTGCTCACTTGGCCAATTTCGACCACCTATTGCTTCGCAAAGGCCTCGCTGAGCTTCCTGGCGCAGCGAAATAAATTGGAAGTTTTTTAATTTTTGCACCGATACACCCACACAGATTCCAAAAAAACTGCTGTTGCATTTGCAATATTAGTTATTTCTCTAAACTGAGAAAAAAATGAATTCTGCAATAGAAATTACCTTGAACGTATCAGCAAAATGCAGATCATGCACTAATGAATGATGGCAAAGAGAAAAGTCCACCGGCACTTTTCATCTCAAGAACACCCAGTACTAAGGAAAATTATTTCCGCAAATGTGGCATTTATATACGTAATATTCTTTTCAATGGTTATAATCATTTGCGCTCTGCATCACCGTAGGGAAAAGATACGTTATGGAACACATGATTCAGGCCTCAATTTGATTATTTAGATCAAATAGAAGCAAATGAACCGAGATGTATAAAACTTCTTTATGCAATCTATAATGAATTATAAAACAAATCGTAGAACTGAATGAAATTTATATAGAAAGGTCAGTTTTATGCGCATCTTTATCCATCGATGTGGTTATATCCGCTTGAACTTCATTTACCGCTGCAGTTCCCTAATATAAAGGTCCGCACGAGCTTGATTTCATCTAGGTGTTCTACTGGTGGACGTCTGTGAAATATATATCATCGCCAAACCTCACATATTGCTCACGAGGTTTTTTTCTGTGTTACTTTTCCCAAATGCTCTAATATAGTAGACGGTTACTGACATACCGAATCGTACTCTCTTCCGCCAATTGTAATTCAAGAAAAAAATTAACCAGAGAAGATAAAAGATGCATCTTAAAACGATTGGTCATCCATTAGCAAACGGGCGATCTTTCCCTTCGCTGAGTAGAGTACTCCTTTAAACTGGGTCTACGGAATAGCAGCAGTACCACGAAGCCATACCGACCTTTATAGTATCGTTCATGGACAACCGTTAACAAAATAAGCGACAAGATCGTTGCCAATAGATATCTGCATTTGTTCACCAAATATAATACCATGAACTCGGGTAAATCTGAATTTTGTGTTGTACGCTTTGAAAATTAGTATGATTGAAAACGAGGATTCTCCTATAGAGCCTTGTGCACATTGCGGACACAAGCAGTCTCGTTTTGTTCAACGAGTCGCGTTGAAAACCTCATCGACAAGAAGGCTCGAAATAAAATAAACCTTCAGCTAATAAAGGCTGCTAACTTCAGTGAAGTTTCTTTAAAACCTGATTCTTCTTCGTTCGGAAACTTTCACTACATAGTTTTCATGTTTTATCCTTCTGACGGAGAGCGGCGATTCGGCTTGACTACCTAGCGTTCCTACGGTGAACTTTTCTTATTGAATGATTCCCATTTGCCAGTTCATCGGGGTTTAGGCACGTGAGCATAGCATCGTCGAAGGACATGGCAGACCACTTGCTTCATACAATTTCGCATTGTCTTCTTGAGTGCATCGTATCACCTCAGTAAGGATTACTTCGCGCATGCTCCGTCCGCTGGTCAGCTAAAGGATTCCTTTCGATCGCTACTCAGCTGGATCGGCTCGACGATGGATATTATCGCTGGGACAAACCGATGAATATCATTGAATCTTATGTCTCGATACTTGTGTTGTGAGCTTGACCATTGATAGATAGGGGTCAGTGGACGGACGATGCCCGGCCCTATGTTGTTGTCATTGGATTCTTCTCGGCGCTGGCGCTCGACTGTATACGGAAATCGTCAGTGTAGAGTTCTGTCGGATGCGCACTCTCAACGGGCAATGGCACCACGAAGGCAAAACACAAAAGAATGATAAAAGCCGTAATAGCAGATCGTCGGCCATGATCACAGGCGAGTCGACAACTCAGATCGAATTCGAGTAACCCAAGAAATCGCCTTTGTCCTTTTTGTTTCGGTGTCCTGCTACCAACTTGTTCAGCTTGCCACCCGCTTCCTCACCCTACCAGACCCCTCGGTCCTTCCACTCTTGTTGAACATCGCAGAATCTGTGAACCCCGGCTCTGACGTCACTGGGATAAGAAAAGGGGGCTAGAGCTATAGGACAGACGGGACTAACCCGGCTATCGTAGAAGCCTAGGAGTCAATCAAGCAACAAAAAAGGAAATTAAGGGTAATAGAATAATCGGACGGAGAAGGACCGTTAGTAAGCCGAGGTTAGTAAGAGAGGAGAGTGGAAACAAAGGCGGTCAGTAGAGAGTGAAGGGCCGAGGACAGCGCGAATCGGGGCTATAGGCGATTGGACCAAAGCCGATATCCGATGAGGCCCAGTTTGTTAGAGTGTCTACTGCGGCACTTCGGACTGTGACAGAACGGAGAAAAGGAAAAAAACTACTCATCACATCAGTGCTACTATTATCAACGGTAAACATCAGAAACAAGTAACAAATATTGACTTCATACAGCCAACTCAATGTGAGAGCGAAAGAATGGTCGAAATAATTTCGTGACACGAAGCGTTTGTGGTACTACATCCGTACCCGCAACACTTTATTATTGGCTTTCCATCTGGATATAAAGTCGTAACGTGGCTTAATTATCTATATTCTCGACATTGAACAGTTTATGAAACCTGAAAGGCAAGCTGCAAATTGAATCTGAATGCGTTAAGCCTTAATTTAGATTTTAAGGAGACTTACTGCGACCCAACTTTGATCCAAGTCTGTTCCACCTATTACTGGACGTATCTTCGTTGCATTTTTGTTACTTAGTGCTCTGTCTCGTTGTGAATTTAGCTTTTTTTCTCTATAGGAAGTTGTGCTCTTGCCACCTTACCTCTATCTTCTAGATAATTCTGTCAATACAATTGTTAGCTGCGTGCAACCCTTTGCTAGATAGAGTTTTCTGATTAAATATAAGGGCTACGATTAAGAAGCTAGTTCTAATTGGCTGATTCATTCAGCCTGCTCCTCTAGAAAATCATTCTCTTCAGAAGCGAGATCAGCGCATCAAAACGTATCAAAACAGACCTATCATATGGCAATGCATCCTTGTGCGTTTATGTTATTGGACATCGTATGAACGTAAATAAGACAGTTAAGTTCCTGCCACGAGACGAGGTAATAGCAGGAACAACAGCAGCAGCCCGCTGCGCTAGTTGAAAGCAAATATTCCTGATCGCCATTTGCCATCGACTGGAGCTTGACGCCAAGGCTAAGATAGAACAGAGTGGATAATCATACGAAAAGGTTGTGATGGCCTTGTTTGCCGTTTAGGTACGTGAAGCAGACTGCGAGACTAGTGGTTGTTAGGGCGGTAATTGTCGCAGTCCATCAGGTGGGAGATTCACCGGCTGTGCACGTATGTGTTCTGCCTCAAGATCGATCCCCGTCGCTCCTGTTTCTGTGTTCTATTGATGAGATCTTGATGACCGGCAAGATGACAGGAAGAAGGACGAAGAAAGGCGGGCTTTGGCTTGCGATCCATGTGTAACAAAAAAACCCCTGAAGAGACAAAATCACGAATATGTGTCGATTACTTTTGGTTCTCATATCGAAGTTGTGTCTGTATTAGCAACCGTCTTAGCTTGAAAGGACATTAGTGTATGGTAACTACTGCTACTGCCATTGCTATCGAATGCTTATGTAGAGATACGTAATAGAGTATCTTTTTTTTGTTGTACGGGTTTCATTTTGAATTGTAAGCTCCTCTTGCAATTACTAATCAAAAATTGATTCGACCCGAGTAAAAAATCTTGTTTGCTGAATGTATAAGACTGTGTAAATTCTACCTGTTCTGGGTACAATATGTTTCTTAGAGAGCTTTACTTGCCTGCATAGACATGGCCATTCGTCACCGGTCGCGCTCACGTCCGCTCCAAAACTTCCGGTTAAGCAGCACTCAGCTCTCCTAATCGAAGTGTCTAGAAGGCATCGGCTCAACACAGTTTCCGTTATAGATCGACGCAATCGACATTCGCCTTGAAGGCAGAGATCCTCAAGCATCGACCCCGCTCGACTAATTCGCCCACTAAATAACAAAGCCGTCAAGTGTTTCTTACATGCCCCCTTCCTTAGCTCTGCCTGGCCAGCACTCGACTACATCAAGTGCCATTAACGTCAGCCAACCCCTGACATCCATAGGCAAGCGGGGGTGTTCTCTCATTCGGTTGAGCCTAGAGAGTCCTTTTGTAAACCTGAGTAGCTGCCTTAACCATGCCAAGCAAGCAGGACAACGAAGTTGCCTACAAGGTCGCCTTCAAATGTTCTCCTGCTATTATGGCGAAGTTTTCTGCATACTTCTCTTAACGTTCGTGCTTTCTATATGTACGATGCGCCCAGTCACCCTCACCCTATTTAGTTCTTTTATCTCGCCATTCGTGCTGTCTGATAAATGCATAATATCGCCATAATCATCTGCATTGAGGGATCTGTACGATAATGTTGTTTTTTGGCAAATTTTAGGCTTCTCTGCGCAGTGACTCTCCTTTCGCTTTCCGAACTCGGAGTCCATCCGTAATTGCGAAGCGTAATCCGAAATAGCGAAGGCCCAAAAAGGACAAGCTTTGCCTTGCATTGAATCAGAAAAAAAATTGCCAGTGTGCGTCGTTCCTTCTACATCGATTCGTCCATTACTTTAACCGTGGGGAATGTACTTACATCTCTTGTGCTCTACAAATGTATGTTGCTAGCTGAAGATGATTCGGCATAAAAATAATTTTATTAAGGGATCGCATTTCCCCATTTACTTTGCGAACGGTGGGTTTATACTTTATTTTTAACATTTTTAACTGCATTAAGATTTTTTTGGTTTCGAGCCAATTTGTAATTATAATTGTGCGTTCACAAATATGCGGCTTTCTTTAAAACTACATTGTATAAGTAGCGAATTTGGTAAAAATCACTATGCAATGGAGTTTTTCTTAAAAAAAAAAAAGTTTATTTCATATATGCATAACGGATTGCTTACAATTAAAAATATTAATTTAAATACTCCTTAATGGTCACCCTATAATATTTTTATGGGAGTCTTTTCATGCTCTCTCAACGATTATCGCGTTGATTAGTATTGGTTTGTTGTAATTATATATTGTTGTCTGGCAGAGATACGTATATCTGTTACGTATCGTAATGGTCTCAAGTCTTTCTTTAACAAATTTTCAGATTAATTCTAATACAGCACAGTTGCATTATCGAGAAAGTTACGCCGTAAAGTTCCCTCCAAATTTGATTACAAAAGATAATTGTGTAGTTAAGTTTAAGTTAAAGAAGAAGAAGACGACGACATTGTGGTCGAAGGCATCGCGAACTTACATCAGACCGATTTTTAGCGCTGACTAACTGGCTAAATCACAGTGGGTGTCTTTGGGAGAAACTGTTTCCGTGGGAGAAAAGACACCGAGCGCCAGTTGCATCGCACAAGTAGTATTCGTCTTCGCCAGCCATCGACGTCTCCAAGGGCTTTGTAGCAAATACCTCCTCATCTGCAACTAGCGGCTAGCGATCGCAGCTCTTCCAGACGCCAGCGTCATTCCAGTCTGCCGGACGAACGCACCCAGCCGTTTCTAATGAGACTGGCCCAGGCCGCGTAGGAGGCAGCGACCAGGATTAGGACGACACGGTCGCTGCAGCGGCGGCAACGTTGTCTCGGATGCGCGTTCAGATCAATGCAGGCACAGTCATACGAAGCTCAACAAAACAGCCCAGCTGCTAGTCAATGGCGGACAGCACGAGTCGCGTTGTTTCGTTGAGACATAAGCAGACCAATACACACACCACATTCATTAGTCACGACCTCACACATCGCCGATCAGCTTGTGTTGAGGACGCTATCCGCAGGGTGTCGCAGCGATTAGGGCACTAGACTCGTCAATGAACAGAGCTCGTCGTTGGTCGACAAGCCTGCAGATGCAGGATAGGTCGAAGCAAACACAGAGGCCAGAGGAGAACCACAACGAGACAACAGAGACGAGCACATTTAGAGTGCCTATCATTGCCTGTGGCTTGTGATTCCACATGCAGTCTATCTAAGTACGCATAGATATAAGAGGAATTTTCCTCAAGCCAGCTCTGGTTACCACTTATCCGGAGTTATGCATTCTGTTTCTGGTTGTTTGGCTGACTTTCTAGTTGACGTGACGGGTGGAGGAAATAACCTTGTAACCGCACCATGTAATGGACGATGGTGGTAACGGAGACCTGCCCATTAGCAGTATTTTTCTTGTTCCTGCTAGTAATAGGTTCGTATGTAGTAACTTTGCTGCTGCCAGTGCACTGCATATGCTCACGCCAGGCGGAACCACTCAGTGGAATAGCGTGTAGGCAAAGATGGGTGCCATAGTAGAGGAAACAACTGGTCCGTTCGACAACTGATGCAGTTTCTACTATAAATGGAAGAATGATAAGTATTAGAGCAACGGCTACTACCTTCGTTTTCTCTAGGACGGAGAGAGTTCAATGGAGTTGGCCCTATTGCTACTTGCCACCCTCGGATCGCACGCAGCAGACGGACCTAGGTGCTGAGCGAGCAACGTTTAACAGATTTCCCCTGCAACTCAACCTCTAATATCCCATAACCACACATTTTCTGCCCTGCGACGCTTGACAGTTTGGCCGCGTCCGCCACCGATGGTTTCGACGACAGACTGCCGTAACAGGTGGACAAGCAATGCAACTAGGCTGCAAACGCTTGGGGAAAGGACGCACCGCCATTTGACAAGAGGAAATAGTTTTCGCTTTAGCATAGGAGAAAGGAACAACAAGCTGAGCAGAGACGGAAGGGAAGGAGACGAGTAAAATGATAGCGAGACATAGGGCTTAGTGAAGAAAAGACGCTGGAAGACCGCGGAAGTTGACATCGGTTTCAATTACCACTCTAGCTATCTCCATTAATCAGCAGGTCGCACTGGATAGAAAATGGGCGCGAATCATCATTTACAACTCCTCGGGTGGCCCACCCTGCGCCTAAGTTCCTTCCTAAATGGAAAGTTCTGTATTGAAACTTACAATAACAAGAGTATTTTCAGATCAACTTTCTTGATAAGTACATTCTACTCTTTAAAAACTAGAATTGAGTATTGTTAGAAAAATTTCCAACATTGCCAAGTACTGTCGAAATCCTTTTTGAGCTGCTCACACAGAGACCTTAAATAGCCTTTATGAAGAGGTGATGTTAGTAAGCGAACACTTCAAATTAAAAGCGTTTCCTAGACTCAGTGTCCACCGTTTACGACTTTGACTATTTCCCTGACGTCTCAGGAATTATTTTCACGTTACCATATTTCATGAAACGGAAATTTTTAAATGTAAAATTCTAAAAAAACGATTAAATTGGGGACGTTCGCTGTGGGCATTACCAAACTGATGTGCCCCCATATCACCGTTATTCGAGAGAGAAGCGATCAAACTTCTCTATAACTTTATCAAGCAAACTTTACAAATTTAATCAAATGTACTATAGTTATTAAAGCTACCACAAAGCGTGGGATTGTGACCGATAGCTGGGCGCATAAACGCACTTTTCGTTTCAATGAATTATATATACTTAATGAAAATATGCTTGTTTTATATACTAACTATATATCCTGCAAGTTTACTTTAATTTAAATACTGGACAACGACACAGACCGTGCCAGGAGGTGCTTGCCGATCTCGTACTATTTATACTTCGCTTCGTCTTTTCAGATATTTATCAAAACACAATTCTTGATGCGCATTTCATGGACCACTGCGTTTCAGTACGGATGGTACATACTCTTTCCAATGAACCAAGAAACTTTGCATTTATACCTATGTAAAATAGGAATAAATTAAAACAGGTTCCCCTAAACGAACCCTAATAAATCAGGAAACAGCCTAGAATAGCTTCGAATAACAATATTACTACTGCTGTAAACTTTTCTCCCTGCTCTTAAATATTACTCTGATAACTAACAGAGATAGTATTTAATTCTGATTTAATTTGGAAAAAATTTCGACTATCAGCTTGCGTATGCGTATATCTATTCACGATAGCATGAAACTGGTCTTTGCCACTACTTTTCTTCAGAGATATATTAGTTTAATTGCTGAGCAAGCTAATAGTCATGATTTTCGCTCCCTTATCCCCTTGAAATTTGCTAGTCGTTGACTAGCTACTCTCAATTTGTTGAAATCAGTTGTGACAGTAACAGCCCGATGAAACCACATCGCTGTGCCAATAAGGAAAAGGCCCCTACGATAGCCTTCGAGCAACCCTACTATAATAATAGTATAGGCAAAGAGTACAAGTTTGCGGTTTCGGTTCTAGCGGGGTTCATCTCGCTGGGGTTTTTAGCCTTGCGCTTCATGATGGAGACCGCAACCCGGCGGGGACACGGTTACCATGACAGTAGGACGGCATCACAGGGAGTGAGCTGGGGCATCGGTGAGGTTAGTAAGCCATCCAAGCAAAAAGAATTCTTCAAGAGTCCGCTCGCGGCTCAAGAACATTAGCGGCGCAAGCTGCAGTGCGGAATCATGAGTAACAACCCGTACGCAGTTCATCGGCGATAGCGGTCCAGACGCTGTCAGCCTACGCAGCGTCCGTTCTAACAAGCCCTGAAACACTGCTTGTACCAGCCATTGTGGTACTACAATGTGATGTGATTGTTTCACCAGAGTAGACAGGATGAGCTGTCCTGGCGCTTTACTTGGAAGGGACGGGATAGACTTCGGATGTTGGCAAACCAGCGGGCCAGCCAGTTAAGCACCAAAGGAGTAGACAAAACAGTCACCGAGATTTAGTTCGAGTGCGCTGCCATGGCTGAGGCTTGGCCTGTGAAGAAGGCCCAGGCCATTTCTAAATATACTGGCTGCTGGTTCGAGGGACAAATCGAGCTCGAGTGGAACTTAGCGAAGGACTCAACGAATGGAGTGGAGCGTTTTGCTGCATAGTAGAACGAGCTCAATGGATGTAGAGGTTCAGACTGCCACTTTCGACGTGGTCAGGTAGTCCTGATCGTATGGGCTGTACAACCATGAGTAGCGTAATAGCCAACCTGCGATGGCCGACCCCCGCTACCATGATTTGAACCACCAGATTAGCCTAGACAGACATAATAATTATAATAATGAACAACGAAAAGACTAGGAGTGAAGAAAAAGACGAATGGAGAATAACAGAGAAGAGCACCATGAAGCGACAGAGAACAAAATATGTTAGACCGCAGTTTCGGTGATTCCGAGGCGCCAGCCGCTTGTAAGAAGTCCCTACCAGAGGCCACTGTTGGTAAGGTAGGCAGTAATCGTTGATTTGGTTACCTGCTGCGACAGTCAATTCAGGAAGAAGCGTCGTATTTTCTAAATATTTCATTGCTAATCTGCCACGAAGTCGTCAGTCAGGCAGGCTTATTTTTTCTCCGCAAACTTCTAGTCCCCAAGAACGGTACCTGTAATAGATACGACTTGAAGTAAACAGATTGCGCTCTCGCAAAGCAACGTATTTAACGATCAATGACGTTTTCCTTAAGCGAAAAAAGATCACAGGGAAGCTTGTTATTACCGACAAAAATGTGCCATTACGCCTTGTTTTTATTATTAATGAACGTAGAATTTACGATTTGATATTGCCATTCCGACTGCCCTGATTTGTTAAGAGCCAATCAACTACAATGGCGACATGCTTGCTTTCTTATCTCAGTTTTTGTCCGACATATTTAGCCGAATTTTGGAATATGGCAAGGGACACAAGCTTGTTAGTTGTCAGGCAAGTATGACAAAAAATGACCTCCATCTGCTCATTTGCCTCTGTCCCATGCAATTTCCTCTATTGCATGTGATGTACTCTCTTCCGTCTACATATGGTCTCGGTCACTCCCAAAATTCTGATGCTTCGCCCTTCTTTTACAGGACGCGGATCACTTGATACTTTAGGTTCATTACCTTTCGAGTGAGCCTTTACTATCTTATAACAGCAGTAGCATATATACCACTCAATGCGTTCAGCACTTACTCATGATTTAATGTCCAGCGAAAGGCTACCAAAATTATGATCCAGTCTTGCGTGTCCTTTATATTGTTTTGCAAACCTTCGCATGTTTGTCCTTGTCGTTTGCGTTAACCCAGCAGCTCCAGTGTGAAAATCTGAAGGTAGTAAAAAAACACAGGGACTGACGCGGTTAATATTAGGACATGTAACCGTATTCGCCATAGAAAGTCTGTTATTCGTATTGCTTTCTCACAGGTTCTCATGCTGTTGCGCTTAAAAATGGGCAAGGTCGTCAGAATTCATATTTTGTCGCATTACACAGGATATAGTAATTTTTAATTGGAATATAGATTCTGTGAGGAAGTGCCCGTCATGCCCACGCCGTTTGTGGTTCTTTAAATAGCGTTGTTTTCATCTTCGCAAAGGGGCCAGAAATATATAGAATACTTTGCAATAGAAAGTAACGCCTGAGACAGGACGGGGATTAATTTCGAAAATCATTATGCGCGTATACAAGCGTAATCACACCCACTTTGATCAAGCCAGCTGTGCAATGAACCCTGCCAGGTGCAATTTATTTTAGTTAACTTCCTATGCGATACGTTCATGGAAAACTGGTCGCCGTCAATATGTCTATTTATCCCTAGCTTTTTTTTTAAATAACACTGAAAAGTGAAGAAGCGAAATAAAGAAAGCGCACGAAAAAACAGGACAGTTTCAGCAAACGGGTAGCCACCGTGAGAAGTTCTTTCTCTCCTACCAATCCATGAAGTTCCTGTCATTGTAAGTTAGGTTGCGAACGCTATGGCGCGTTACCCTATAACTGGGGATACCTAGGTATCTAAAACTGACTCTACACTACGAGACCGGAATTAGCTTATCTAAACAATAAAAAACCAGAATTTTCTCTGAGCTGAATAAACTTGGAGTATTTTATTTATCGAAGAATAAGTGTTCTTGTTGGGCGACCTAAAAGCAAAGGTCTTCTTTTATACACTTCACTAACCGTTTTGGTCATATCCGATAGTTCTTCATACTGCGTCGTATAGATGAGCTGGTAATAAGGTCAAATCTCGTTCGTAGGTTACGTTCGGTATTTGAGCCGTCAGGAAGAGTATTTATGCATAGGTTAGAACCTAGGCCATCAGGCATCCTTGAGTTCAATAGCAGTGAAGTCAGACAACAGCGAACTATGTTGTTTCTTATAGTATAAAAATTATCCCGATACAGAAGAACCTGCACACTTGGCTGATGGAGTAGCAGTATACTTTCTAAGCTTTGTAAGCTTGATCTGTAATTCCTATCACACACAGTAGATTCAAATCAGCGTTTCTACGCTCATAGGCTATTAGCGGTAGTCTAAGAGGTTCCAGTTCCGATTGAACGTTTGTGAAATAAAAATACGCTCGAAGTTAAAAAAAAAAACAAAGTTTTGAATGTGGAAAGCTTTTATTTCTCATGGATAAAAATATAAAGATAAAAGTTAAGGAAAATGGTCCTCAGCGTAAAATGCATTGGTGCTTTAGGGAAGTTGCTTGGGCAGGGATAACTTTCGTTGCAGGGTCAGTTTCGCTCCCTGGGAATTCGCTATGCATCCTGCAAACGCTGAGACGTGAAAATAGTTGCGTAGGCATTTTTTTTCCAAGGGTCGACGACTGTGAGCAGAAACGAGGCTGGGACGAAGTGCTTGTTTTTTATCTTGCGGTTGAACGAAGGTGCTTGAAACTGTGACCAATGTTGAATCCTATTTTTAGCCACTTGAGCTCCGTTGCTTCCTTCAAATAAGAGGCAACCTTTTCATCTACTACAAGCGAATACTACGCTAAGCGATATATATATATATATGTCGTTTAGTGAAAGGCATCATATGCTTTGTGCATCACTGCTGAGTAAATTTAAAAGTATGATTATTAATTGGGTAATTATTGCACTTACAATATGTAAAAGCTTTCCTATAAATTTATTAGTTGGACCGTCAGTCGGCGCCGAATTGTTTCTAGCTTTTGATACATCCCAGCCAGGCGAAAAGTTGTATGAAGTGAAAATACCACGTGAATGCTCACAATTTCCGGAACTTCAACCTTACAAACGGTTTCTCCTTCGTCATCTACACAAGGCCTTTGAAGTCACTCGATTTCTGGCTATAAGCAACCGATTTTTAAAGAACAACAGCAAGCAGCTTTCAGCCAGAATGGTGGACGGCCACCAGGCTTTAGTCAATAGTATATATAAAATAATTATTAATTAATAATAATAAATAATAATTAATTAAATAATAATAATAATAATAAAAATAATAATAGAATGAGTCGAATTTTAGAAAGGAAGGTAGCTTAACGTAACCCGAATTCGGAAAAAAAATCGTCAAAAAAAATATCCCAAGCTTGGTGAGCCTTAAATAGGAGTCTACGAGACGTTTCCGTTCGAACGTCGTCACAGGCGATACCGAAAGCTAAACCTAAATTGATTAAGCAGGTGTGTCGCAAATATGAGTTGGCTGCGGTTTGATGAATCAATGAACAGGTAGAGTACTAAGCAAGTTCATGATATCGGCGTAATCCGTGCACATAGTTAGCAGGTCGTTACCAGTGAAGTCACCAATATCATTTGTTTAGGTACAAATGATTGAATGCAGAAAAAATCTTTATCTGAACATCGTTTAGAGTTGAAAAGATGAGCGATCCCTCTAGTGTTCTTTCATTTCCTTACTTGTCTGTAGAGGCCAGACATCGAGCACAGTGAATTCTGCCAGAAGCGGCGAAAAGACTGAAATCATACTTTGTACCTCTTTTACTGGACTTTGAAAAAGGTTTTTGAAGTCAGAAGGTCATGAAACTTTAGATCGTCTTTGGCAACGTCTATCCAAGATACGGATCGCTAAAAAACGTGATCTTTTAGCAGAACTGTATGATACGATATAACGTATCTTTATATAAAGGTAATATAAACGATATGGAACTAGCACCTGCTCTGCAACGATGCTTAGCTTTTGAGGATTTCACAGATACGTTCTCTTAGCGTGATTCTAATCAAGCCTGTTGAAGATACAGGACATAACTTGATTAACTTACTGTTGCACCAGATTGACCAGACCGTAAGCTAAGTTTACAGCCACCGATTCGAGTCCAAAGAAAATATATGTAGTATGAATAGACATTTAGCAATGAAAGATTAGGGCAATTAAGTCTTTCTTAGTATTTCATACATAAAGTTAAAACAGCTAGAAGCGAAGTTGCCAAAGCAGCACCATGGGTTAACGCTATAGGTTAACCGGCTTTGAGGCATTAAATCAAAAAAGCCGTCAAAGCAACGAATCTCAAATAGTTCACATTATACAAACATGCGTGAGTCTTATTGACTCAAACCTTGGGGCAAAAAATGAATTCTTCACAGCTTATTGAATCGAAGCTTGTATAACGCAGCCCTCGAAATGCTCGACTGAAGTAAAAAATCTCCTGAAATGCTAAAATATCATCATTTTCGTAGCTAGGAGTGCACCAGCTCCTAAGACCCTTAATTTCTAGGGAATGGGTACTTTTTTGTCCTTAAAATTATCCAGCTGTTGTTTTTGATTTGAACGAAAAGTATTATATTGGCATTTTAAAAGTTTAGATCCAGCAAGATAGGCCAAGAGCAATGGCAAAGTGGTTTTTGATTTCGACAAATTTTGACGTTCCGATACGTCATCATTTTAGAAATGAGGTTATTGCAACTATACCGATATACTTCGTCGAAGTGCTGGTGCTGATAACAGCGTACCTTTTGCTTAGATATAACGAATCGTTTGAGATTTTTTATTAGGATAGATTATTGTGCACTTCACTAGTTCGAAGGTAAATCAGGTCAGAGAGCCATTGTCATGACTACGTACCCATACTATGGCCTGGAACCACCCGCACTGCTTTTTAGTCAACCACAGAAATTACTAGCAAAGGCCCAAGTCAATTTGCTTAGTCCGGCCGCTGAGCACTCGCGCTTCGTGTCCCGCCTCGACACGGAGCGAGTGACTGCTACTGTGACCAGCTCCCTTGCCACAAGCCACCGAAATCTTCGGAGCTGGTTAACTAAAAAGGCAAGAATAACAACAACGACCGTCGGAACTGTCCGTTGTATAATAAATAGATCGGGATGCCTTTCGGAAATTACCGCGCTAGCGGGTCGCCACCGCGGCTGTCAGCTGACGCCGAGAGGTTGCCAGACAGCGGAACAGAACGAACGAACAACGACGCAGACAACGCGTACCCTAACCCGTAGTGGCGGGCATCCAAAGGACGAGCAGCAGCGGCCACTGACTGCTATCAAACGCAGCCAAGCACGCCTAGTCATCCTATTGAAGGGCCTTAAAAAGAAGGCAAAGGGCTAGAGCGAGAGGTAGGAGGAGAATAGAGGAGGGGGGGGGGGGTAACAGTGCTCGTAAAAAGGTTTTTCATGTCTGTTTGTCCCTGGTTGTAGCAGTAGTAGCAGCTTTGTAGCTAGTAGCTATCATCTAACTGGTTTGCTTAACACTGCTTTCTGTCTGGCGGTGTTTAGGATGCGCGTCGAAAGATACCGACACAGCGGCGATCGCCATCACTACCACTCAAAGTTATTGGTCCTTTTTCTCCTTCTTCTCCGATGCAAGCGAGTGACTGTGTGGTAGTTACGACTTGATTTTGTCTTAAACCTTTAATGAGTACGTTTCATTTGCTTGTCTTCTTGCCTTCCAGGCGCAGATAGGACACGTTATGAACGGGGTGAGTGTGTGCGCGTCTGAATAAGCCTGATAAAGCTATTTACGAAACACTGATGCCAAATAAGACATCTTTATCTGATAGGAATGCATTTAGTGGAATAGAGAATAACTATACGTAATATCAGATCTAACATAATTTCAAATCGCGTGTGATTGGAAATATATTGCGTCTGCTAACCACACTTAACAACGGAGAGTTCATTGCTTAGCTTTCTAATGAACCGAATAAGGCCCGTCAGCGGCTTGACCAGTAGCGGAGCATCTCAGCAATATGTGATATATTGATTGATTCTATAGATACGTTTTAGGATTGAAGCTAGTTCGTTATGCTCAACATAATGTTCATTGCCATTACGTCAACCATTTAACACCATTATGCGAGAATGGCCAGAGGCTATTTCGTTTGCGTCCTGACTCGAGGGAGTAATCGGATTCCGAAACCGCTGGTTTGCTAATGATAGCTGATAGCATTGAACAGTGAGAGAAGCACAGTAAAAGTGAAGCACAGTATGGCTGACAGATGAAAAGAAGAAACAAAAGGGTAAAAAATCGATGTCTGCACTATCCGATGGGTCGGCGGATGTGGACAGCACGCGGAAACACCAAGAAGTACGCCGAAGACAACAGGCATTATGTTGGTGGAGAATGAATGAAAGGAAAAAGGGGAAAAAGCAGACACGAGACGAGGCAGGTAGACATCGAATGTAAGGAGGAGATATCGCTCATCCGCATATGTCGAGAAAGGACGGAGGAATGCTGAATATCTATAAGCGATTAGGTTACTATAGTGGGCCGAACGCACGCCACTAAACATAACTATAACCAGACGACGAGTCCTAGCCATTTGAGACTATTTCAGGCCGGCTAATATAACTATACGAAGAAAGTAACATACAAACAATTTCTGGCAACTTAAACAAAACTTAATGCAAGTAATAGGGAAAATCGGTGCAATTCGTCATTGACGGAGCCAGCCTAAAAGCCCGATTGTGTCCGAAGCTGGCTAGTCGATGCTCTTTGTGCATTTTTGAATCGACTAATCAACGCCATTAAGACGACTCACTCGGGTATTAGACTACTGTTATGCGTGAGTATGTGAGGTGGACGTTTCAAGAGCGTGTCTTCATCGGGAGACAAACCGATACCGTGGAACCGGATGACAACCGAGCGCAACGGCAACGTCTGCCTGTTTTCCACGATAGGGGGGATAGAAACTCGTGTTTACGATGTAGTTTGCAATCCAGTTTGATTTAGTAGTCTGTTAAGAAGTGCATTTATACGACAGCAGGGGTAGTATTTATGGTCGCGACGATTAATTGGCTGTAGCCTCAATCATTCCTCTCAACCGCTCTGACGGCGATACTAGGAAAAAAGGTCAGGTATATGCAACAATGTCGCTGTATGCATATGATAGACGGGGTAGTTCAGACTGAAGACTTTTGTCCTGAGCAAATGTAATATAAAGTATCTATTTGGTGTTTTTTTAGCTGAATTTAGCCTTACCTTTTAGTAAATAATACACAGAACGATCGACAGCGGAGCGCGGTACGTCATTTTTGGGTAAAACGTACGAAAGTAAAGACGCCTTTCACTACACATATTTAGAGATGTTTTTATTGCGATCTGTCAAGCTGTTTTTATAGAAACACGAATTAGAAATCAGGATCTATCGGAAGCTCGGGCTCGCAGGCTGTCGTTCGTCTTATCTTCAACGTCATGTCATCGCCTTCTTACTCAACACATCAGCTTCCCTTAACGTTGGGAGATTATCGTGCGGCCACATCGGCAATACTCAAGCAGATGAAAGCGCCGCGTCCACGCGGGCGCCCTCACGGACTTATGCTGCTAAGAAAATGCGGCATTTTTCCTTTTCCCGAGCTTTTCTTCCTTTGTACTTGGCCGTAGACAGTGAAACGCTATCAAGAGCTAGAAGTTGCTGCTGCGCCCACAGGCGACTAGAGGTTTTTCACCCTTAAGAGAAATAAGGATGAATACAGACAAGGGCTCAATGTGAATATGGACGGAACTTGTGAGTTATAGCTGTTCCGCGAGCTTTCCATGTTCCGAATATATATATATATATACGCAGGGTGAAAAGAAAGGGAGACGGGAGAAAATCCGGCTGTAACGACGATCTGAACCGTCTCGGCAGCCAAAAATCAATTCATTTACCGCAGCATTTTCTCCTGCTAATATCACTATACCATAAAAACTGCCATTGAAGGATCGCTTGCCGCTGCATCGCGCTTCTACGAATTGGCCACATGATGATACGTGTCCTATAAAAATTCTGCCCTGACCTGGAAGTGGAGCCGAATGGTTAATGTAAAGGCAGAAATGTGTGACAGTGGTGGTCACAGAAGCGTCGAATCTTAACGGCACCCGTGCGGCTACCCGTTGTCGAAAGATCGTCAAAATCGCCGACAGAGATGGATCGTAAATGTTTTTATTTTTTTTTTATTTTGAAGTACTAAATATAAATACAGCGAACTGAAATATTTCGTCTGATCTATTTACCTGCGATAGTGTAACTCAATGGTGTCGATCTAAGCATGTTGAGACGCGGATCGTTTTGACCGAGCCTTGGTAAAGTGAAGTCTGCAGAATAGTCGAAGCTTAAGAGATAATTAAATAAGTTCTATAACTTGGTTAAGAACAGATCGCACAGATTTTTCACAAAGAGAAAAGAACTTTATGCGGATCTAAGTTTACGAGTATGTAACTGTGCGCGTGCATTAATTCTCTACGTGCCGAAATTCGATGTTTAGTACGGATACACCGTTTTTAATCGGACACAGTAATATTAACAGTTGATTTCCTTATCTTCTTAGCGTTCCATTTATAACGTAAACCTGGATTGACCATTCCTAAAAGTAAACCTATCTAGGTAAAAATGTCCATGTTATAGCCGCGCATGCATCCGAACAAAGCATGACGTGACACCTAGATAATAGGCATGGAACTTCTCTGGTAACCGGCTGACGATAGCTACCATAGTTCTAACGAAGGGGTCCAACTCAGACCGGTCTAGTCGATGCACTATCGGTGTATACGGCATGTCTCACTTTTACATTGTTACAATACCATCTGCATTATAGTTCAGGTTAAAATTTTACAGGAGACTTTCACTTAACCATTATAATAATATGTTGACATTTTAAGCAAACTACTCTGAACACGTTAGAAAAAAAGACTGTTAGTTATGCAATGCGTACGTACGTTGATGAGAAATTTTTTAATCAAATCATGTAGCGGCGAGCCAACGGTTGGCAGAGATTCGTTCGCATAGATTTTTCGTGCAAACGTTACTCCGCTGTTCCTATTATACACTAATGTAGCTTCTGTTAGGCAGCCAGCCTTACTTTGGTTAACTGCTGTGACCACCGTACCACTCAATCTAAACAGATCCGCTATCTGTAGCATTCCACTATCCGAAATACGATAACAGAGGTACACGTAACCGTTCCTGAGTTCGAGAAAGAACGCCTCAATGAAAAACAGGAAAGGTGGAGTCCTGGAGTGATCTCTTCTATAAATTACGCGTTAACACCCAGATCGGCAGCTACCCTCTTATAGACATTGACGCTATCGCCAGTTTGACGCCTTCCGTGTCATCTCGCTGTTACTATTCATGGTACTTATGGCGAGTGCTGCTAGCAGAAGCTGCAAGGTATTGCAGTAAGCCATCGCTTTCCCTAGGCCGCTTATCGTGGATTACCAACGGTATTTAACAATGACTCTATGACACTGTCGTGCATGGAGTAGCAGCTTCCGAACAGCACCTGTCGCTTGACTAACGGCTCGATAACATGTACTATCATCACCACCGCCTCCGCTGCTACCGCCTTTGCTGTGGATGTTCCAGTCGCCTATTGCCCTGCGTTCCTCTGCCCACCTCATTGACGCACACACACGTGCAGACAGATGCCCGTACATAAACCCAGCTAGATAGTTGTAGCATCGGCGTCCGCCGTTGTTGTCGATGTGACTGCTGCAGCCAATTTGGCGACTGACGATGTTGAGACTGTTGCGTGCGTAACTAGCGCCGGGCCAAACGGAGGAAATGGCGTGGGAACATCGAGAGAGATACGCCCTGTCGTATTATACGATGGAGGGAGGAACTGTCTATCGTTGTTCGTTGCCTTTTTCGAGTGTCGATATAAACAAAATACTGAGCGCAGAACGGACTTTACCTTGACGCTCCGTCAACACCTGAAGGGAGCGATAAACTAAATAAATAGTTTGCCGTTACGTGAGCACAACTAATAAAATTATTATTATTATTATTATTACTAAGTTTACTTAATTAGGAGTACCGTTTGTCCCGAAGCCAGTAAGTCTCTCTACTGGCTTCACACTATCAGAGGACTGTGCTGACACCTTACCGAAAGGAAAATTGAATTTACAGAAAATTATGGTCCCTAGAAACTTTAGTTTTACCTAAAAAGGTGCATCCAATTAAACAAAACAAAAATACTTCATTGGTTCCAGCTCGTTAATTGATATACGGTCCGTCCGCGTGCAAGTTTCTATCTCATATTCCTATAGTAGATCAATTGGCAGTTTCTTTCAACGATACAGGCTAGCTTGCTTAACCCTAGCCCATGTAGATCGTGTTGGCATTGCCATTGGCGGTACCTGGCAAAGGATAACCTACCAGTGCCTCTCCCAATCGCTGCTACTCAGCGAAGACATTGTAAGCGGACGTAATAATCACCCCATGTGTGCGGATGGAACCCTACGAGCTTCAGTATAGTCCTATGGCTCTGTTCGTTGCCCTATGTAGACTAGTTTCTTTCTTTCTTTCTCGCTTTGTCCCTCGAAGTGCCCTCTTCTCCTGATTAATGATCTGGACACACAGACACACATCGGCCCACCCACCCGCTACCCACCTACACGCTCCCATGCCGTTCGTTGCCCGTCCTTCGTTCTGTCTCCCATGTTTTCCCATCTGCTCGTACCCCTAGAAAGAATGGTTGCGGCAAGTCCTCGTAAGCGTATCTGGCGGCCGCTTCGTTTTAACACCACAAACTGGTTGGCTGGCGCGCGCGATGGAAGTAGTCAGAGTGGGTCAGAGGCTCAACTTCGATTCTTTGCCGCGGGTTTTCCCAGTTTGTTCTTGTGCAAGCAGTGCGTTATGGAGGAGTAAACGGGCAAGCAACGCGGCAAGTGAAAGGGATTGTATCTATGTGCTTGATCTGTGTATGGCAAGCCATCACATCAGGAAAGAACGCGTTGGACCAAAAGAGTTACACGACAAGGGTTAAGTACCTGGGCGCTAATACAGTTGTGGGTTCTGGGAAGAAGGCACAGGGCCGACAGGCGACGACAACTGATCAATCAGCTAAACATGAGGTTATAACTTAGGATGGGACACTGTTGAGTCCAATACCCTATGGTTAGATATAACTGAATTGAATTAAAAACTGAAACACAACTTTTCATCAGTATAAATGCTAACTAGGAAACGGGTATGTTGCGAATTGTTTCTCAAGTTAAACAGCATTAACATTAACGCACGACATGACTAGTTTCCTATTGACAGGAACTTTTTTATTATTGCTATTTATCATTTTGTTGGTATATGGTTGGTATATAATGGTGGGATTGCACCTACTCAGATAAAACAGGAAAGATAAACCTGTTTCTTACGCAAAGGCGCATCACTGCGCACACCCCATTCAGCTACAGGAACCTACGACAGAGCGTCTTAACTGTCTCTACAATTTACATTTATTGGAAATAGATACGGCGCGTTTTCTCCCGAGTATTATTGATAATGATTACATGCATGTCGCCTTAATATACATAGAAAGCCTTCGACGTTGTTTGTCGAATTCAGCCGAATTTCTCCATCGACTTCGTGTGTTCTTCATGGTGGAATGAAGGTTTTTCAAGAGGTTATGAAAATGCATGAAATACGATCTTCTCAAGACGATGCGGACGAACCGTACTTTGAACAGGAGGTAAAGTGACAACAACTTTCGCTAAAGATCAAATCAAACAAATTGGATATAGCTTCTGCTCGGTCTCAGCCTAAAACCACCGCATTTTCCCTGCCTACTTACTAGTGCACTTGAAAGGCTCGCAACAAAACCCATCTGCCTGTTCGGGCCCAAATCGCAACGATATTGCGGAAGGGTTTGTTTCGCTCATTGCAGGAGCTTGATCTTTTTGTATCTGCCATCCTGTGGTTTTCGCTACGTTTTGTCGACCGACACGAACCCCCAAGGATAACAGATAAATGCTAAAATCTTCTGGGCTGCTCTTGTTTGTAACGAACGTTGCTGCTTGTTACAGGATCTACACAGACACACACGTTCTTTCGTTGGTCTACATCCTGAGCCACAAATTAATTGCACTATTACCCGATAGGAAGGTACGACGCTAACAATATCAGACAAACTCGATGGTACCGAGGCATAGTCGTTCCGATCCACTGGCTTAAATCGCGTTCATTATATAATGATCATTCGGACCCGAATGATGATGACGATGATTAGGATATTAAAGGCACAACAGTAATTGCCTCTTGTATCCATAAAGGACTGGCCTTTTTCGGTCCGACGAGGACGACTTGTCTCGCGGTTGTACCCCTCAGCATACGATGCTTCTTTCTTAGCCTGCATGTAATGCAAACATTCATATCTGTCGTAGAAAGCCAATTAGTGAAATGATGTTTCGATTGCGAGAAATTTTTGAACAAAAAGCGTCTGGTGGTTGGGCTGCGTTCAGAAATAGCGAAGGAAAGGTTGGTCTATGTGCGATTGTATTGCAAAGCGTAGGGCGGCATCACGGAAGAACCTAATTGTATCCTTGCTTAAACATAATGCCCATTTGTTTGTTGCGTACGAGATCTGCTTCACTCAAGCCTGACGAAGATATTGATTCTGTTTGTCATTTATGACGAGCAAGATGCGGTCGACGCTAGACTATGAGTGCAGACAAATACGGTACGCATCATCGCTGCTGCTCGCGACTATCGCAAACTCACTAACAAAAACTTCCGCGAATTTGTACGCTTTTAGTCGATGTTTGCCTTTTGTCACCTTTCTTTTGTCGTTCCTGTGACAACGACACCAAAAATAAATGAGAGCAATTTTTTTGCCGCCTCTCGACAGACCTGCTTCCTTGTTTATATGCGCCTGCACTCGTACACTATAATCGTACGGGCGTGGTAGTTGCAAGGAAAAAGTCATTAGTCTGTCATCGGTGACAAGGTTCCAACTCAAGTGAGCTTGAAATCTTGTAGCTTTGCTTATAGCTTGCCAGCATCATGTATGCATTGACAACGCTTCCGACTGACCGTATACTGCTGCCTCTATATATACATATATATATATATAGATATGAACACCCTGCTAAGCATCGTCACTCTACAGCGTAACTATGAAGCACACAGCCTCTTTCTCACCTCTGTCAAAATGCCCATCTGAATATCTATCAACTTTTCGAACCTATAGTAACAGTCGTTATAGATAAACGCGAGTTCCAAAGGCCCACACAATTTACTGCGTTTCCTCTTCCTTTGAGTGAAATGATCGTATGCGCGGTCCGCCTGTAAACGTAACGTATGTGTCACGGGTAGGTAGGTAGGTAGGTAGGTGACGTGATCGACGTCCTTAAAAAACAGTGAAAAACGGTTCTTGTACAATTCTGGTACATTGTAGTTTCTGCGCTCGCCCGAAAAAAAGACAGCAGCGTCACCACTGCGATGTACAGCTTGCCGGCTGTAGGAAGCGATATATGTATACATATACGTATATATAGCATAGATGCATATGTAATATAATGTATGACGCATATATATATATGTCTATATCTACGCATCATACACTGAACGGTGTACACGTTGTTACCGCCTGCCAGGACAGCCCAGAAATCTGCAGTCTATAATTTTGCCAAAAACGCGTAGAATTTCGTATAGATAGATTTGCTATAATAGTAACCGCGTGTTAACTTACGATGATACTAGGCTATCCAAAGATAAAGTAGGCCGTTCTCTAGGCGGCCGTGTGAGCGTGTGCGGCGGGGCGGGGGGGACGCAGACGGGAGGAGCAAAAGGCTGTGGCAGGTTATAGAAAGCAAGCGGAAAGCGGAGAGTCAAGTCAGGCCAAAGCAATCTAAACATATGTGAGCGTAATGTCTCTCTTCTCATTTATTCATTTAATTCCCTGTTCTCAGATAGAGTAGCGTTTCATACGAAACGCGAAGTCCTATTAGATGAGTGGCTGATCACTAACATTCAGGAATTGCCAACCAGCAGCACTGTTTGGCCGATTGTTGGCTGGTCGCGGGACGGATAAATCTGGTCCGCGTCTCGCTTACTGGTCGGTTAGTTATTTTGTATGAGTATTCGTCGACGGGCCGCAGCCATGATTCTGTTCTCAGTCCGTCCGTTTATCTATCTTTGTATTCACCTAACGAATGGTGCTCTGTTGCAGCTGTTTGCCCTGGCCACGACCAGTTACTTTTGCTGTTGGCGGCGGGTTTGTGGGTGTGATCTGTTGAGCAAAGGAGCGCTTCGTAGTCAATTTAGTTTAACTCAAAAGGTGAAAATGGAAGAGAGATTAATCGCACCAGTAAGAAGTAATAGCGGTAACAGCATTAGAAGCTGGGCTAGCGAGGGTAGAAGTCGACGCGTTATGTCTAAGTCAACTCGGCGAGCTCACGGCGCGTTCACTTAACGCCAATCGCTACTGCAACGATTAGAACACAGCGTTGTATAGCGCTGTTGAGATGTTTGAATAAGAGCGGGCGGCGATCATGAGCCGCTGGGTAGCATTAGCTCATCTCTCTCTCTCTCTCTCTCTCTCAACGCGGCGGATGATGATGATGATGATGACGGGTGCTTCTGCTACCGCTTTCGCTGGCAAAGCGCCTACAATCAGTGCAGCACCGGCAGCTGAGCCAGTCGATGAACTAACTGCGCAGACGACGGGGCGGCGGTGGCGGCTCCCAAGTGGGCAACACGAAGTGGCTGGTTACAACGTTGCTGTCGTCGTTGTCGTTGTCGATTTGGCACTGCCTCAGCCTTCTGTTGCCGGGAAAGGCGTTAGACTTACGGCCTCAAAGGTCGTCGTCTATGTACAGCCCGCGTTGTTCGCACTCGG